CATAAAAGGATGCAACCACTGCAAGACATGGTCAAACTGGGCCATGGTCCCCAGCTTTTGGGGGCAAAAATTGCTATTATGGAAATTTATGTATTTGCTCCTTTGATTCCTTCTAAATTGGAGATTCAGAGTGTATTGTTTGCTCTTAACTGGTATCACTCTTGCCCCATTTTTTATAGATAAAGTGGTAGCACCCATCCTAGTCATTATGACAAAAGAAATTTAGGAGTCCCCTATGGCATATGATTATTCCTTGTAAGAATACTATGTGAATTTGATCTCATTTGGTCCTTATGTGTATTGATACATGAAGCTACATTAGTAATGATTTTTTATGACCTAAATGAAAATTATGCTCACATAATCAAAGTATGGGGTAGGGTAATTCTGTTGTAAGTTATGACCATGTTTCTAGCTCAAACCAAGGTTATCAAATTGTTGTCTATAATGGAATCAAATGCTTCATCGCCGCAGAAAATACTGAAAGCGGTACAAGAATGTCACAACATACTTACTTGGACCAAGAATGACCAGGTGGCCCAATGGGGTGCAAACGGGCTGATTTGTTTGGTGATCCAAAATCCAAATCGTTGTGTATAGCATTCTCTGAGACATCATGTGAAAGGAACAGACTCCTTGTATCAAGAGGCATTTGCTGGAAAGGCGCTTTCTGCAGCCATAAATCATTGTCATCCAAACCAGAACCCACTGAGCTTCTTGTTCCACCATTCAAATGACTGGCACCATGGTTAAATTGATTTGTGTTTGGTAGGAGCCACTCAGTCTGAGGACCTCGTAGACCTAAACTTTCTTGAACTAATGGCGTGCCCCACATTTGCCATGTGCCCCCATGTTCATTGCTAGCTTCAGGCAAAATAGAACCATTAGGCCCTTTTCCAGTTGAGTGCCTAATAGGATTATCCTCGAATGTACGTGATCTTGAAAGAGGAGATTCGATTGGTGAAGGCTTCGCATGTGTTTCCTTGGTGATGTCACTAGAGATGAACCCGCTATCCAAGTCGAGAGGAAAGTTATCTAGGGACTCTGAAACTGGCCCAAGCAACGCAATTGCATCAGGATCATAGCATGGGTCCTCAAATTGTTCTGGTTCTTCAAACACTGTTGGTTCTGGCTCACAATAGTAGGGCATATGTCCAGCTGGAAAATGAGAGAGTGACATGTTGGCAGGTGCTCCATTCACTGGTGGGAAACCTGGAAATTGCATACAGCGGCTTGAACTAGGGTTACTGTCCAGAGGGGGATACTGCGATAGGAAGATTTGAGCATTGCTAATTTGTGCTCCATATGGTTCTGGTTGCCCGTTCATTTCACGGGCTGTAGCAGGAACATCAGGACAAGGTGACACAGATGCTGAGCGACTAAACAGCTGGTGCCATGACTTTTTAAGTCCAGTAGGCTGTGACTGCACATTTGGACTAACCTGCATAAAAGCATAACAAAAATGCAAACGGTATTTGTAAGACGATAGTCAGGGTGAAAACAATTAATGGCACATGTCGTAATCGTAACAGATAGACTGCTGCAGCAATTAATAATGCCTTTGTTACTCACAGATCGATGAACATTAGTCCATGAATTTGTCGTTCCTCCAGCAGTAGCAGATTTGGCTGTTGCAGGAGGTTGGGCATCTCTTTTGACTACGTTACTCTGGTCAGTTACAGTAACAAGCGGTTTAGTCACCTTGTTAACTTGAGGAGCAGAGGTCTGAGCACTTCTACCAAAAAAGGAACCGCCACCAAAACCTCTTGAAGAAGATAACAGACCGCCTGTCATACGGCCAAAGTACTTTGCCTTGCTCTGTACTGTCTTACTACCCTGGTTGTTAGCATCAAAATTATAGGGCTTATGACCCTCAGCGCCAACTCTTGTTGCATCCCGCTTCTCTGGCTCATTTCTTCTATCAGAATCCCGCTTTCTCTCCCCTTCCCTGGTTACTCTTCTCTCGATATCCTCGCAATCTGAATTGCTCTTGCTTGATCCCTTATCCTTCTCGTCCTTCCTCCTCCTCTCCTGCCGTCTACGTTCCACTTCCTTCCGAGGATCCTTCTCCCCAACAGGTGTGGCGCCTTTGGATCTCTCTTCAGCCTCTGCTTTCTCATCCCTTAGCCTCCTCCGCTCCTCCACGAGCTTTGCCATCTCCTCCCGTTGCTTGCGTTCCTCCTCCTCTAGCATTTCCTTCTCCAGCCTCGCCAACCTCTTCTCCTCCGCCTTCCTTTTCGCCTTCTCGACTCTGCTCTCCTCAGCCTTTGCTCCGTTCTCCCCTTCTTTTGCTAATCTTTTACCATCTCGGCCCAAGCCATCGCCGTCCCCCGAGGAGCCAAATCTGAGCACTTCCCTCCAGAACCACCTCATGCTGACGCAGAAGGAAGAGAACAAGCGCCACGAGAACCCCGAGTACAGGTTATCGGAGGAGCAGCGGAGGTCGAGCCAGTAGGCAGGGTCACCGGCAGCATTTGGCCAATCCTGGGTGCAGGGCCAGCCGGTGGGGAGGGTCCCGGCAGGGCCGAGGTCGAGGACGGGGCGCTTGGAGACATGGCCGCAGTAGGAGCACATGAACTTGCCGCCGCCGGGGTTCTGGTCGCGGTAGGGGTTGTTGCAGTTGCGGCAGCGGCGGGTGGCGGTCTTGCGGAGCTTGTGGAGCTGGAGGGCGTGGGCGCGGCGCTCCTCGCGGAGGCGGGCGGAGCGGCGGGCGCGCCAGAGGGAGAGGCGGGGGAGGAGGATCTCGTACCAGAAGAGGGTGAGGAGGAGGACGGAGACGCAGGCGAGGCGAGGGGAGGTGACCTCGAAGCGGTAGGCGGCGGGGAGGAGCTGGGAGAGCGCCCAGAGGAGGATGAGCGGGAGCACCAGCCATGGCAGCATGGTGGCGACGCGCCGCGACCACCGTTGCACGGCGCACAGTATACACATTATCCGCCCACCTCCGCCTCCGCCGCCGTACCAATCTCGATCGCCAGCGCCGCCCCTCTCAATCTCAAACCCTAACGGACCCAAGGGAAGAAGAAGCTTGCTGGGTCGGGAAGATTGCTGCGATGCGAAACGAAACCCTGAAATGGAGGGGGGGAACCCAATCAAATCAATTGAAGGACGCGGATGCGAGATGCTGTCCTTGGCTTGGGGGGTGGGAATACGGGATTAATTAGGAGGAGTCGGAGAGATTGGGAATGGAGAGGGGGAGCTCGAGGTGGTGGGTGGTAGCCATGGCGAAAACCCTAGCCTAATTTCCTTTCGGATTGCCTTCCCCTCTTCCTCTTCTTTTTTTTTCTTTTTTCTGTTCTCGCGAGGCAAGGGATAAAGCGTCTCGACGCAGCTGCTGCCAGCGTCTCTTCTTCTTCTTCCCTTTTCTTTTTTCTTCCTTCTTTGCCATTTTTGCTTTCTTTCCTCTAGTTAATTTTGTGTCGCTCCCTCCTCATGTTTTGCTTCTCCTTACTCCGACTACTAGTACTACACAATTAAAGAAAACACAATATATAATTTTTTTAACATAGAAATTGTATTGAAAATTTTTCAGATTTCCTAAAAGTTTTGTATATTCTAGAGTATGCTTATGTGCTTTGTCTCAGCCTTTGACTATTAATGCAACATTTTATTCTTGTTTTAGTAGTTGTTTTCAATTCAACTAATATTAGCATATACTAGGTTATTCCAAGCTATTCATCATAGTACTTTCTTTTTACCCTTATCCTTAGCTTTACTTTCTTTATAGAGCTTCCTTTTTTAAGAGATCAAGAAAAGAATGGTGAAGTATTGTAGTTCTCCCTATGTGTATAACTAAAAGTGAGTACATGTTTGTTCTTCTCTTAATTTAAGAGTATAGTATTTACATAGTAGTGTATTACAAGTCGGTGAAAAGAATATATAAAAATAGGATTCATCTCCTACACCAAGAAAGAAATAAGGCTGCCAGTTAAGATCTTGTTTATAAATGCAATATTTGGATATCATCATATTTTTAAGTGTATCATACTACCATGGTCCTAAATATTATTTTAATTATATTAACATCCATAGTATTAATGTATTATAACACCTATTGAGTAATTAAGCACATGCTTTCTAAAAGTGTACACAAAATGTTCACTTTCCATTGTTAAATCAAAGTGTTTGTCAAATACTATGGGTTGCTTTCAAGAAAGAGAGTCTAGTATTTAGTTTTATTGTCCAGTATATTGTCCTAGGTTTTGAAATGGAACCATTTGTTATATTAGAATTGCCACCTTGCCTATCACACACTCATAGTTTCTTCAACATGAAGTTTTCTCATGCTCATGAAAGTGTCTCTTTTTTTATTGTGGTATGTGTTTTCTATAGAGAAAGCTTATGCTTACAATTAGCACTATCAATAAGCAAAAGCAAACCAAAATGAAATAAAATTTAGGTAGTGATGTTGTGAAATCGTGTGGCTGCACACTAAAAACATATATCAACGATATAATCGATTATAAATGTATACATAAGAAGATTATACTCTTTTGATTACTTAGATACACATAGTATGCACTAACGATATAATCAAACCTAAACTAGTTATGAGAGGGAACCTATTTAAAGACAACTTTTTGGTGCGTATCAGAGATATTATCCTTCAGGCAGGATTAGTAAAGATCGGGAATGGAGAAGGGGGAGCTCAGGAGTCCGGATGTAGCCATGGCAAAAACCCTAGCTTAGCCTTCGGGTTGCCTTGCCCCCTCTTTTTGTTTTTCTTGTCTTATTTGCCTTTCTATTTTTTGTCTTCTCTTCTTGCAAAGCATGGGATAGAGCATCTAGACGCAACTCCATCTTACCTCTTCCCATTTATGGTCTTGACATGAAAACGAATGGAGGGTTAAGATAAAATAAGGTAAAATAAATGGATGGTTAAGATTAAACGTTTTTCCAATGAACCGTATGAGACAATGCTCATCTCATCGAATATATCTAAAAAAGGATTACATCCTGGAATAAAAAAAAGAGAAAAAAAAGAGTGACTACATAAGGTTAAACTATAGCAAGTGCTTCTCTTTGGCAAACATCAACATTGTCACATTCTCTTTGATTTTTGCAAAAAGGCTAGACAACAAGGTTCTCTTCTCCTGGTGCTCAAACGCTCTTTGATTTCTTGCTTTTCAGATACCTACGTGATTAATAAGACGAGTGTGCATCGTCCCAAGTCGCCGGGATCCAGAAGCCGCGCCAAATCCGCCGGGAATCCCACCACCACCACCACCACCACCGGCCGGTCTCCTTTCTGCTTGCCTCGCTCGCATCGTCGCATTGCCACATCCACATCCTGCAAACATGGCCGCCATGGCCACCGCCCCGTGTTTTCCGGCCACCCCGGGACTCCCAGCGCGCGGCGCCGTCGCTGCTAGGAGCAGGATGGCCGCCGGAGGAAGCAGGAGCCAACGGCGGCGGAGTTCCTCTGGGGTTTTCCTGTGCCGCTCCTCCACGACGGGGAGCACTAGGATGGAGGACTACAACACCGCCATGAAGAGAATGATGCGCAATCCCTACGAATACCACCATGATTTAGGTCCGTACCAATCATTTTTTTCCTCGTCTACGCGCTTTTGATCCTACCTAGATAATGATTCTATTTTTGGGATGGGGATTGTTAATTTCGTCCCGCCGAAATGATTGATTTGGTCCGTGCACGCGTTGTCTTGTTATAGCATTACTACATTAGTGCGTTTATATCAGTTGATGTTCGATTGTCCCATCCATGAGCCTGAGATACTATAACTGCTGGATCAATGCGTATCTGTGTCATGACTCATGAAGGTTTTCTTGTGTGGATGTTGAGCCCTACACTGGACTCAATCAACATTTTGGTAAAGATTCAACCTTGTCCGAGGAGATTTGGGTTCTTTCCTGAGTCAGGCCTGGGGAAATGTCAAATCAGTGAGAACACTGTGGGAGGTTTTCTATTTCTATTAGAAAAAGAAAAAGAAAAAGAAGATTGTGGGAGGTAGGTCAAGTCTAGATTTGGTGTTCTGTTGCTTATGATGCATCATGGTTCATGTTCAGTACTAAGTTTGCTACAAATGTTAGTAGTCGGTAATGGTTTGTGATGATTGTCAAAAACCATGGTATGTAAAAAGAAGCTAAACATCCTGTTTACCGAGCACCCACCAATGTCTCCAAGGTTGGAAGTTCTTCAGGTTTCAGAAGTGGCTTCCACTGTAACAACAGACAAATAATGCGAAGAGGAATTGTTAGTGCTGTCAAGATGAGTTTGCTTCTAAAAATCATATCAATTCTGACAGACCACAGCAACAAACTCACAGCCGCCAGTAACATGTATTCAACTCTAGTTTTTCTTTGGAGCTATCATTCACAATGACCATGGTAAAGAAATCCTAAAAATCTCGAGGTATTCTTTGGGCATCTAAAGCAAATGTGCACAGAGGTCTCAATTTCACCACACAGTTGACAAAACTCTGATCCTACCCAACTTATGTTCTTCAGTTTTGCAGCTGATTGAATCCTATCTCTAATAGCCTGCCACATGAAGTGTTTTTGTTTTGGGGGAACAGGGCTCCACAGGGCTTGCATTCTTATATCTACCACCCCTCAAATAGTGATCAAATCTGCATTGTTGATCTGCATGGAAATTACTTCTGCATTTTTGGTGGGCTTGAGGGCTTTGGTGGTTTAGTATTTTATTATCTTCATATGGCAGTTTCACTGTGTTACCCTAAACATAACTATTTGAGAATCACTTACATTATAATGAAAGTTACACCATGATGTGAAAAATGTATCTTTTTAAGATGGTAGAGGCCCTTATCTTTTGTACATTAAATGTTTGTGAAATATCCATTCTTTGATAAGTTCTGTGAAAGTTCTTGCTGAAGATATAGCAATTTGATGTGGAGATAAACATTGGTGTCATACTTTGTCATGACTTAATTGAATTGCACAGCTTGCTTTAATTATTTTTATAAGTCACTGAAATAGATACAGCAATTAACAGGAGCAAAACAAAATCCCTACTTTGTGTTTATGCAATTCTCACTCTGTTACTCCTGGAATGTAGGTATGAATTATGCTATCATTAGTGATAGCTTGATTGTTGGCTCGCAACCTCAAAAACCAGAAGATATTGATCACTTAAAAGATGAGGAGAAAGTAGCCTTTATTCTTTGCTTACAGCAGGACAAGGACATTGAATATTGGGGCATTGATTTCCAAACTGTTGTCAATAGGTGCAAAGAACTTGGCATAAAACACATCAGAAGACCGGTGAGACGCTTATTTATGTACTGAGCTAGTATCATGCTTAATTTGCTTATGAAATTCTGCTTCAAACAAAAAATGAGCACTTTACATTCCTACTTTCAAGCTTGATTAACTTTTATAGTGTCTGGTCTTTTGCACCGGTGCATTTTTTTTATTCATATAAACATGACAGATGAACTAAGAAGTTGTTTAATGAGAAAATATGGTAATTGTTCTTTTACTGCAATGAGCACAGCTGGCCTTGTCCTTTGCATTGGACTTTATAATTCATTTGAGATAATCACAATTCATATCCACCTAGCAAGCTTTCATATTTCCACTATATGACAAGATAGGTGAAAAGTATAAAATATTGACCTCCAACACTGTACATCAGAAGAGCGTAAAAGTAACAGTAAGCTGCTATCTTTGAGTGCCAAAAGTAAACTATAAAAGTCTAGGAAATAATTAATTCCAATGAAGTTAGTGCAAGTTTGATTATGAAAGTGAGTTAAAAGCTTGCATTTATTTGGTTTCAGGCAGTGGACTTCGATCCAGATTCGTTGAGGACTCAATTGCCCAAAGCAGTCGCATCACTAGAATGGGCTATATCGGAAGGCAAAGGGCGTGTCTATGTCCATTGCACTGCTGGACTTGGGAGAGCACCTGCAGTTGCAATTGCTTACATGTTTTGGTTCGAGAATATGAATGTAGGTTTCATCTTCTTGAATTCTTAACTTGTCAGGGTTATAAGCCAGGCCACATTCTTAGCATTTATCTTTTGCTTGCAGCTTAAGACAGCTTATGAGAAACTAACTTCTAAAAGGCCCTGTGGACCCAATAAGAGAGCGATCCGTGCTGCAACTTATGATCTTGCTAAGAATGATCCACATAAAGAGTCTTTTGACAGTCTGCCAGAGCATGCTTTTGAGGGCATTGCTGACTCGGAGAGGAGGTTAATTCAAGAACGGGTCCGTGCTCTTCGGGAGGCTTGAGAAGTAAATGAAAACTTCTCCATATCCTTCTATTCAAGCCTACAGGTCAGGAAATGCAGTAAACATATGATAGAACTAAATAAACAAATCTGCGCAAATTGAATTCATTATGGAACAGACAACAGCAGAACCTTAGCTCCTCTAGTAGTATTCTTCTTTGCTGCCAGATTGCTAGCTGGTGCAGATGAAAAGGTTTTGATTCACCTATCCTCAGAATAAAGCTCAGACAAGATCTAATTTAGTAGGTATCTGATAATAATAAGAATGACAAAATAAGGAGGTGCCAGAAGATGGCATTGCTGGTCTGGATGATCTTGGTTCTTGGTTGCAATTGCGTAGTCTTAATGGCGACCAGTTGTGTAATTGGGAAACCCACACGCACATAGTGCCTTGTAAATTCAGAGTATCGAATAAGGCCGTCTTGAGACTGTCACTTTGCTCATGTGTACGGCTATTGCTGTTGAAAGTGAAACACATACTATTGCTGAAAGTGAAAATTCATCATATCATCGCCAAATGTGATGTATGCATGTTCAGAGGTTGACTGCGGATGTTTAAGTTTACTGATATTTATGTTTTCCTGTCAATTTGATTATTATAACAAGTAATGTTGTAGACAAAGCATTCCATTCCTACTGGAATTTTGCTGTGCAGTTGACCTGTATTTTCAGTTTCCTTATTGTCCCAAATTTCACACTCTTTAGTTGTGGAGAAAGAATATTTGATGAAATGACTTACATATTTTTTCCCTATAAATAAGAAATAAGCTCTTACACCACGCATGATGTACCAACCAATCTTATGTGGTTATATAGCAGTATGGTAGCTAACTCTGTGGTTTACTGAAGTACAGGCTCAGCTGTTTCTGAAAACACAACACTCAAGACCAACAACAGCTTTGTAAGCTTAAAGTGAGACACTGAATCATCAGTAACCTTTGAATCGATCTTATCGTGAACCATCAAGGCGACATTGCTGCATATTAAGAAAACAACAACAACAAAAACATTAGAATGCAAAAAAATCCAGATTGAACAATGTGTGAATTAACAGGAAACCAAGAGAGCAAATTCAGCAAGAACCTGAAGAGAGCGTCGACCAGGAGACAGGAACACGCGAGAGCACCGGTGGGTTAGGCTGCCCGGCTGCCATAATCAATCAAAGAATCAATAATATATCAGTTTTTCGTCAGAAAGGAATTAATCTGATAGAATTTGAGAATGATGAATCAATGAGTGCAAGTGAAGGTAAGAACTGACTGAAGCAGATGAAGAGGACTTGAGGCGGGAGGACGAGGCCGCAGGCGATGGGGAGGTACATCATCCGCACGGGATCCACCGGCTTGGGCAGCATCCGGTTGACGTCGCCGAGGATCACCGGGCACAGGCACCTCAACGTCCGGTCACCCTCCGCCGCCGCCGCCGTGCTGTTCAGGAACATCCCCAGCCCGCCGCAGCACTCGCTCGCCGGCGTCGGGGTCTCCGCCTCCGCCCCCGTCAGGAACGACGCGCACGTCGTCAGCCCCGCCAGCGACGTCACGCAGTCCGTCGGCGACGAACCGCCGCCGCCGCTGCCCGGCATGCCCGGGATCAAGGTGCCCGGCGGCGTCGTCTGCGACGACCTCCCGCACGGCGGCGGCAGCGAGCCGCCGGCGGGTGGAGACAGTGGCAGGGCGGGGACTGACGACGACGACGGCGGCGGTGATGGCTTCGGCGGCGCCGCGCGCGGCGACGGCCTGGCTCCGGGGAACCCCGGGAAGCGCTGGCGGCTTCCCGGGAAGCCGGGGAAGCGGAGGACGCGGGCCTCCGACGAGACCAAGGCGGCGGCTGCCTTCCTCCTCGGTCTCATCGCTTCCGACGGCGTCGCCATCATCACAGAAGCAACCACGACGAGCAAGACGACGGCGGCGCGCTTGGATGCCGGTGACGCCATCATCTTCTTCTTCGCTTGATCAATGATGAGCAATTAGCTAGCTAGTGTTAAGCACTAGCTTAAGCACTTAATTAGTGACTAGTATTAAGCACGAGAGGCTCGCAGCTTGATGATCCGGCGTGGCGCGCGTATCGTTTTATAACTCACGCGGGGATTCTTCCCGCGCAATTTTAAAAAGGATTAGCACAAAGATCACGCAAGGCAATATTCATTCTACTCTCCACCATTCAATCTTGGGCTCTCGCTTTGCAAAGAAAATACAGTAATAAGAAATGCAGCTTGTCTTTACATGCGTGTATCTGTGTGTGTGTTCCAGAAATTAATCAGGCAGTATGAAAATCGAAGAACATGATCAATAAGTTATCAGAAGGTGCCATGAGAGCACTTCTATAGTATCAATTTAACAGTAAATTGTACATGCCTGAAGATCATATTGAGTTCCCAAAAGAAGCAAAAATGCCCAACAAATTCAGCCTTGTTTTCTCATTAGCAAATAGCAATGTAACAAGTCACATACACTGCCGTCTGCAAGACAGTATTGTTTCTAACAATAGACGCAGAGATCACATACTCATCTGTTATTCATCTAGTCATACAGTATTCCTTCTTCCTCTATGCATGTTGTATCCTTCCTGTAGTAATCCTAATGCTATATTGAAAACAAAAATGTTTCTCGATAAATCTTCTATTAGTCTTACAAGGCAAAAGGAGTATCAACGCCACTGGCAACCTGACTTGTCGTTGTGCCATATTTCTTTCTGCACTCTGGTTACTTACAGTATGCATTTCTGTGGGTACGTGCAGCAGTTCCCCGTATCAAGCATTTGTGTTAAGAACACTACAAGTGAATTAAGTAAGCTACAATCACCTTACTATAGGTAACCAAGTACCTATCTAGGAATCGAAGATGCAAAAGAAGCAACCTGAACCTTGACAAGGTTTGTCTGGAGCCGGCCCAAATGAAATGCCGTTAGAAGCCACACGAAGCAGAGCTGTTATCAGAAGGGAGAAAATTAGTTCTTCAGTGATATATGCAATCCTATGTGGTGATGGGGTACAAATACAATGACTGAAACCATGACACATACCGGCAACGCGTAGAGGGTGACCATGGATGCCTTCTTCTCAAGGCTGCTGAACAACAAACTGTATATTCCGGCAGCTGTTGCATCACCAAGCCTTTGAACAACAACATCTATACAAACCTATTAGAATTCATATTCATTAGTTAAATAGTCAAAACTGAAATGGGTCATACATTTGTGAACACGTATTTAAGATGATTTTAAATATAAGACTAAGAAGGCAACTGAAAAACTGACTATTTTTCTACAATAGCCTACTTAATCTGGAAATTCAACTTCAAATTTCGCTGCTAATCACCCACTCTCCATTTTAAGAGACAAGGCTAACTCTGATGTGCCTAGGTGAATTCAAAACAGAGCCATTTTATTTTTTGGGGAATACGCAAAAGGATTGCGGACTTCTGTATTAAGAGGAATAAAATTTACACAAAAGGCAAAACAAAGAAAAGAAGGGGGGTTTGGGAAGAAAAGGGGGGGGGGGGAGAGGAAAACAAGGACTTAATCCTATTCTCGCGATTACAATGGGACGACCAAATGACCTAGCACGCTAAGAAGGAAGCGTTGGCGACAGAGGATGGGCAAGATGCCAAAGGGCGGCCTCTTGCGCCATGCCTACGACCACCTTGAACCAGGGTTGAGAACAAAAACACATCACATATGTTGATGTGTATATGCTTGATATCTACCGGAGACATCTATAACACAATGCAAATTGATGAAAATTGATGAGCAATCCAGGGATTAGAAATTTTGTTAGTTCTCTGTGGTGCATGATAATGTGTACTACTGACACAACTCATCTATTGCATTCAAGCAAATGTATTATTTCGTTTCTTATTGGTCACTAAACTCAAACAGGTAATGACATATCTTTTACCTTGGCTTTGTACTTCTCATCCTGTGAGACAACTGTGAATAGCAATTCCCTTCCAGGTCTTGTCAAAACATAAGTAGTTACCTACAGAGAATAAAAGATGAGATTGGGAAAGCAGCAATTTAGAGCTAACATCGAAAACCCTAAATTGCACAAAAATGGATTATGAGTGATTAGATATCCTTGACATGCGAAAATTCCAGATTAAATTCAAATTAATGTGTCTCAGCTCTCAAATATGAATATCCAGGTGGTAATGAATGCTCACATCTAGATATGCATATTTATTTGTATGTGACTTTTGGAAAGTATCATTTAATGGTAAAAAACGGTTATTACACCAAAAGTTCAATCATAGCTCCCTGTTCTATATGTACCTTTCGAATTGTTTCAGTGACAGCAACAGCAACCCAAGTTGGCCATAGAGCAAGGGCAACCATATTCAATGTGGCAATGAATGGGGATGCACAGATAGCAACTGTTACACCAGCTATGGTAAGGATACGACCCTGAAATAGTTGTTTAATTCATAACAGGAATCAGTAACGAAATTTCGAGATTTTTTTTTTCGAAATGAAAGAAGAAACAAAATTAGCAAAACTTCCTCAGTCATTGCAGTTTTCTAACAACTTGTTGGTTAGGACATTTTTAAATTATATTGTTTTTGCCAATGCTAATAAGTTGCTCAGTACTTGGAATGTAGTGATGTAGACATGCAATACATCATTTTGACTACATCGTAATGAACTCTTCCCTTCTTTTGACGATATGAGATGCGAATTATCTCTTAATTGTCAAACTGAGGAACATATGCGTGTATCAGAATTACATCAGAATTCAGAAGGAAAATCTATTGAAATTTTGACACATTCTTGTCTTCAAAAGAACAAAGGAAGATATCACTAAATAATAAGTTCAATGTTGTATGAGAAAAATAAGCACTTTGGGGATACGCATGCATGATCAAATAGATGTTAGAAATGAAGCTGAGCTTTCTAATTGAGCCTTCCCCACCAAAACAAAAAGGAGGGAGAGCCTAATGAGTCAAAATGTTCAGTTTGCAACATATAAAGCTACTTCACCATGACGCATGTCATAGTGGTCCTGTGCAGGACAATTTGTCAGGTTAAGATTTATTCATACTGCAAAAAGGGGTACTATTAATAATAAAACCAAGGACAATCTGGAGATGGATAAATACCGTCAAAGTGAGTTGCCCTGCAAGAATAAAGACGGCAATAAAGCTGTTTATGAGTGCAAAGGTTCTTCTTCTGGCAGTTGGGCTTGATATTGTTGTAGCAACTATCGTCACTTTCTGGAAATCAGGTAGAATTCAAATGGATGGTAAATGGTGGATCCTTCCAACGATGTAACTAAGGAAACAACATGGTCACAGTGATGTGGAACTTATTCATGTCAATAGACATATATAGAAGAACCATACCTGGAAGTAAAAGAAGGACGACACAACAGCGCTCAGCCACAAAAATAGAGATATATACATCAGATAGGGAGAGCGTGCAATCAGCCAGAAACCTTCAAACATCACAAAAATCTCAGGTTTGGTTTTCTGAGATTCGGAGACTTGGGACGGTAATCCTTGTGAAGTGACCAGTGAAGACATTTCATCATCAGCCTCTGTATTTTGGCTTTGTTCGGCTCTGCAGTTGGTAATAGATTGGGATGCAATCATAAGCAAAACAAGGAATCACCAAAATATCAAATCAAATAATCAGCAGGCAATCTATCTGTATTGCTATGAGACGTTCAAACTAACAAAATCCATTCAAGGGTTTTGAGGTTGATTATAAAAGAAAGAATTTACAAACTATAATGTGACTTAAGTTTAAGAATTAAAAATGAAAGTAAAACTGGACATTAGTCCGTATCAATGATATGTTTTGCCCGTGTCATAGTTAACAGTCATAGATAAGTCAGGATATTGCAAACCATGTCCAGAAGGATACATACATTGTAGAAGACAATTCCATTGAGCCGTGAGTATCATCAGTGCAGATTCCTTTCGATGACAATGCAGCAAGTTCCATCAATAGGGATGAAAACAGGAGCAGAACTGAGGCACATTTCGGAGATGTGAAAATGCATTCTAGAAATTTTAAATCAGGAATTTGTTTTCTTGTTCAGAAAATCATACGTACAGGGCCCTAGCAATGCCATAGTTGCAGCAAATAATGAACCAAAAAGTTGCCCGAGCGTAGCACCGGCCCCAATAAAACCAAACAATCTTGAACCTGACTGAATTAAAAGAGTAATAAGAATATCAGAAGCAAAAGTAATCAGTTGTAGGTAATTTGCCAATAAGTTTTAGAGCAGCTGTAAATGATACCTCACTATCCATGATATCAATTACTCTTGCCCATGTTGATGATATTGCAATGAGATTAAGCAAGGAAACCTTCAAATAGACATAATTACTCAAATCAATAATCAGTTTGAGAATTAGAATAAATGAACATGCCCATGTAGCATGAAAAGTCGTACCCAAAGAAACAAGCTTATTCTCACTAATATGTAGAACCAACTGTGGTTTCCCCATCCAGGAGGTTTATTTGAAGCATCTTCGCTTGACTTGATTTGTACACCAAGAAACAGAGAAAAATAAGTTTTTTTTTGTGTGAGGAATGATTCTTAGATTAGGAAATTCAGGGGGACAGACGAAGCAGCTGAGTGAAAATTCATGGTACGGTAATTTTTTCCCTTCACAATTTCATTGAAATTTAATAACTATATTGTACATAATTGCAAAAACCAAGATTAATAGCAATGTATATTACCTGGGAGATAGAAGGGGAATGCCCAGGGGTAGAGGCAAACCAAAGAACAAAAAAGACAAGAAGGGATAAACTGAAGAATCTGTGTATGAAAACCAAAGCCTGAATATAGATGATAAAATTAGCTGATGTCAGTGAATAAGAAATAACTGCAAGGATATTTGTAGCCTGTATTGTTCTTCAGAATATTTCAAATTCTTAAAATGTAGACCTCATCATCGATAAACAAACGGAAGAAAGCTGAGGACAAGAATCTGGTATTTAGTCAAGGAAAAGCTAGCTGAACCATCTTAAATTAAAGGGGTTTACTGAAGAAATACCCAAATTATTGCATTCCTGTGGTAAATATACAGAAGCTCGCACAACACAGACCAGAATTATTTTTTTCTTCTCAACAGACAAAAGAACACAAATTCAATGATTAACATGGTACTCTAAAGTAATTCATCAACTGTTCCAGTCATACAGAAGGCAAAGCTAGCATCTTGATCAAATGAAACAAAATAAAGGTATACTACTTTTAACTAGTGAAACACTAAAGCAAGAACAATACAATCATTGAAATAATTGAGTTGAGTTAAGAATTGCATTCCTTCAGGTTTAAGAAGTGTGCCTACATCTGAACTTAGAGCAAATAGCAAGTTTTCATCTGAACCAATTCAAGTTTTCATATTCGTTAAAAAGAGTTTTCATGATTGTGAGAATGTAATGCAGTTGTTTTTGCGTGATTGACTACAATAAGTGTGTAAAAATTGCGTCCGTAAAGGTACAAAGCATTACCGAAGTTTGCATCTAAGAAATCTAACCGGTTGGCTTGTGGCATAAAAAGCAAGCTAATAAAAATAGATAATGTAAGTGAGGAAGAATACGGACCCTGGGTTTGGGGATGGATGGGAGGGAGAAGGCGAGGGAGGCGACGGGGGCGGCGACAAGGGTGAGGAGGAGGGAGCCGGCGAAGAGACCCGGGAGGGAGGAGAGGCCCAGGGAGATGGCCCCCTCGTCCCGCAGCGGCAGCACGGCAAAGTAGGCGCTGAGGATCTGCACAGCCATAAAGCCATAGATGAATCAAGGAAATGAAATGAGAAGAAGCAAGAAGCAAGAGAGAGAGGGAAGCATACGATACGATACGTACGAAGAAGAAGGTGGAGGCGGCGCTGATGAGCGGGGAGATCTCGTGGGGGAGGACGGCCACCACTGACGCCACCGCCGCATCCCGGAGGCGGTGCCGAGTCGTCGTCGTCGTCGTCATTCCAAATTTCCAATCCAAACTCCGTCGTCTACTCTGCTTGTCCTCCCGTCCCGGCAAATCTAATCAAACAAGTCACTCACAAACACAATCCCCCGATTCCGAGGTTTGACGTCTTATATATATGTTTTTTTCTTTCTTTCTTTTCATTTTGACGAGAGAGGAGCTGTTCGTTCGTATTGTCAAATCAAAAAAAAAAAAAAAGCATTCTGGTATCAGTATCAGTAGAGTGTAATTGACTAAACTGGCAACAACAAAACAACGACAATGACGATGATTTTGAACAGTGTAAATGTATAAATAAATGAGAGAATCTACTTATATACCATTGACTTTAGTCTAGTTCAATAATCTGCCACTGACTTAGTTTAATTTTATAATATACCAGCGTCTTTTGTTTAACTTATATAATTTACCATCGCCGTCAGTTAAGTCTCCGTTAGCACGGTACAATTTCGTACTAATGACCAAAATACCTCTAGAATAAAAAAATTAACCCAATATATTTTCATGTCCGCCTCTGTTACGGCCACAAGTACACGTGCAATATTGCAGGCTGTGTCCGTGGTCCACAAGCCCGTGGCGGCCGCATACATACGTATGTATTGCTAGAATTCTACTCCCTCCGTTTCAAATGTAAGTCATTCTAGCATTTCTCATATTTATATAGTTGTTAATTAACAACTATATAAATATAGGAAATGCTAGAATGACTTACATTGTGAAACGGAGGAAGTAATATATTAGTCAATACATAATATAAAATAAGCGTGTGATTAGATTTATTTTTGTAAGTGCAACATGCCGTCAAACAAGTTGCTAAAACAATCATATGTATGCTTAGATAATCATGTATTATCATAGAAGAATATGAGCCGGGCAACCTCTGTGACATGTTACAGTATGGTATTTGTGAATTTTCGGCCAAATTCTGAAAGTTTTCATCTTAGGGGTATTTTCGTCATTAGAACACAATTGTATGGTACTAACGGAGACTAACTAGACGGCGATGGTAAATTGTAGAAGTTAAACAAAAGGCGATGGCGTACTATAGAACTGAACAAAGTCAGTGGCAGATTGTGGATCTAGAGCAAAGTCAGTGGTACACGATAGATTTTCTCGTAAAGAGAGATCAATAGTCTGTTATGTTCGTGGCCGGATCCAAGCTTTGCACAGTTTAGTTAATTTGCTCCTAGCCAGTGCAGATCAACATCTCTGGGTATGTGCTATGTAAATTTAGTTTCTTCTGGTCGTGTACAAATTCTCGCTCAATTCAGTACTCCCTCCGTTTCATATTATAAAACTTTCTAGCATTACACACATTCATATATATGTTAATGAATCTAGACATATATAGTTTCATATTATAAGACTTTCTAGCATTGCCCATATGCATATATATGTTAATGAATCTAGGTATATATGTGTTTAGATTCATTAACATATATATGAATGTGTGTAATGCTAGAAAGTTTTATAATATGAAACTGAGGTAGTACTACTTAAATAGTGGAGTATACTGCTCCATACTCCCCAGAAGCAAGCACACAAAAGTAAGTATAGCCATTACTATCAGACAAACAGTTCAAATGTGTGCATACAATTATCGGATTATCCCCTTCACAGAGTAGTATTGCCTATATCATTAATAACAACCATATGTACAAGCTGCCATCACTTCTTCGTCTTCTCCATGCCTACCACAACTTGATTCGTGTATGCACGCTTCCTACTACTTCATGCGTCACGCACCAATTTCCGTGCAGAGAACAAGTTGAATGCCTTCCTCTTGCCTGCATCACAGGCTTGGATCATTGCGCACACATCGTTCTTCTCCAGGAACTTCTCACCGTTCACTAGAACCAGAGGGACGTACTGCAGAACCATCCTCTTGCACTGTCAACAAGAAAACGTACGATTTCATCAACCCATATCACTCATGTAGACATGTACATTAACCAAACAAGCATTATTGGGTCAGAGAGAGAATTTTTACAAACTACTTCAAATGTTTTACCTGCTGCTGATGACCTTCAATCTTGTTGCATTCCTTGAGTAGTAATTGAATGATCTCAAACTGCAAACATCACACACAAGATGTTAGGGTCCAAATGTATGCTCATTATTTATCGATGTAATTGTGTAATCGAGGGAAAATCAATCACCTCTGCATCAGGATCTTTCAGTTTGGACATAATTTCATCGATGATGTGGTGGCAGAATACGCATGTGCTTTCACTTTTCATAGCTGATAAAAGAGCCATGTCCCTGCAGAGGCCATACTGTTTGCAGAACTCATCTGGCTTAATCTCAGCAATTTTTGCAAAGACGAGAGTTGCATAGGAGTCCATAGTCTCAAGACACTGCAGACATACAAAGTGATCATGTTAAACTACTATTGTTCATGGAATATCTTTCCTTCTTGGTACTTTAGTAAGGGAATCAAATTCCTACATGTGTCATATCTTTTGATCAAATTGGTTGTATTTCTAATATACAGACACAATATATAAGATCTAACAAACCAAATCAAAAGGGAACAATTACCTTTTGCTCAAAGGAGAATGTCTGAGAACAAGTGTCATGAAGGATAGTCATTATCTTATCTTGTATTTGTTTCTCACTAAGAAAGTTGACTGCTTCGCTTGTGATGTTTTCACAAGCCGAGCACAGTGAGCTGTGCTTGCTCCTCAGAAGAGTTACAGGTATCTTGGTCAACGCAATTTGCTCCTTGTACATTGGGCTAGCATCTTCCCCGACCTCAGTTGTTTTTAGATCAAGGACAACTGAGAAGGAATGAATAATAAACAAAAGGTAATTTCGGTGCAAACAAATAAATAGAATGAAAATAAGATCGTGAAATTTCGGTGCTACATAACTAATTTTGCCTGAATAAAATATCATGAAGGTCGTCAGCAAAAAATAATAATTTCTATTACATATTAAGAAGTAAAAGTAAACCATTGCCAATAATTGGGAAGCACATTCTCATTTCTGTGAAGCTGGAACCAGTTAATTCCTGTCACATTATGTGATATTGCATCTCTAGCCTTGTTGTATGTATCCATAATCCTTTTTATGAGAAGTATGTACCCATAACCAATAATTGGTGTTGCAGAAATTTTTAAAAAAGTAACACTGTTAAAACATACCATAACTAGCATAAATAAATAATAACTAGCCTAGGTTTAACATACGAGAGAAATCAGAGATGCCAACAATTAGATTAGGCTATCCTCTTTTTCCTTTTTCTCTATCAATAATTTATTGTGACCACAATGTTTATCATTGTGTACCATTGTGAGATGAACATGGGACTTTGTAACGAGTGCATGGCAAAGCTTGAACAAAAATAATGGATGCATTTTGCAGGCAATGAATAACCAAGCTAAGAGGATCAGTAGCAGGTTATCCTCAAGTTGAATTTCAACCAAATAAAATACCCACAGCAGCTGCCCATATATATAAATTTTAGAATGATACTTTACTACGCACAATAAAAAACTTGTCCAATTTTCCCTTGAGAATGTTTGACATGTTGGTTCCAAACTGCATGCAGGAGCCAGGAGGAGCATAGGTAAGGGAGGAAGGGAAGGTGTTGGATTAGGGCGTACCAAAATCATTGCCTTGACCTTGAGCAGCTCCGCAGGTGACGATTAACAGGAGTAGGAGAAAGGAAGCGACTTTGAAATCCATCGCCTCTTTCTGGCTGCAATTGACCTGCAATTGAGTATGTGTGTGAAGAACAATTGGGGATTAATAACAGATAGGGCGGCCAAATCGAGAGATTGAGGAATCAAATCGCGACGATTCTAATCTAGGAGAGAAGAGGAAAAAGAAAGGGCCAGGCCGGGAATCCAATCCACACAAGAGAGGAAGCAGCAGAGGGAACAAGCAAGCAACTCGAGCTAGTTGACGATAGGGGAAGGAAGAGAGGAGGGGGAATCGAAAGGGGAAAGACAACTCACAAATCGCAAGCGGCGGCGCGTGAATCCTTTCTGCTTTGTTGGTTTGTAAAAAATCGATCTTGCCGCTGCAATTATAGAGTGCTTCTCTTGCAGGATCGATTGTAATAACAAGGGGATCGAAGAAGCAGAGAGGAAATCCTAGTCGTATCGGGGTGTGGTGTGGTTTCCGTTGCGTGGAGGGTATGAATTCGTGGAGGAAAAGGAGAAAAAAAACAGATTAGAACGCCGAACAGTGATTGGATTAGCTCATGCGGTTGGAAGTTGGATTTCGACACAACTGTGGGCTTCAGCTGTATGAAATGAGATGCGGCCCAATAGAAATTAAGGCCGGCCCACTCAAGGAGTGAGTAAAAAACAAAGGCCCATTGATACTGAAGGAATAAAAAGATTAAGGAAAAAGTACACCGAAGGTCCCTCAACTTGTCATCGAATTACAAAATCGTCCCACAACCACAAAACTAGATATATAACGTCCCTTAACTTACAAAACCGGCGGGTGAGTCAGCGTGAGACCCACATTGGCCCCATATGTCAGGACGCCACGTCATCATCTCTTTCTTTCCCCTCCTCTCCCTTCCTCCTCCTCTCTCTCTCTCACTCATCTCCTCTGGGCAAGCCGGCCGGCGGTGGGGAGGAGGTCACCGGGACAAGGAGGTCGGACAGCCGGCCAGCGATGCGGCGACAGCAACTCGGCGGCGGCGACACGGGAGAAGGGGAGGGAGGCGACGGCAGAAGCACGAGGTGCTAAAGCAGCCTCCATTAAAATCGAGCAGACGAAGCCGAGGCGGATTTCGCATGAGCTAGCGCAAGCGTCGGCCATGGAGGAGGTCGTCGTCGGCAAGGAGCGCTAGCGCCCGTGCTGCACGCTCGTCGGCGTCGGCGGCCATGGCAGCAGCATGGCGGACGAGCCGGGTGGCGTGCGTGGTGGCGGGCGAGAAGGACAAGCACAGCAAGGTGGTGACGTCGCGGGGGCTCCGCGACCGCTGCGTCAGGCTATCGGTGCCGATGGCCATCGCGTTCTACGACATCCAGGACCGCCTCGGCGTCGACCAACCAAGCAAGGCCATCGAGTGGCACATCCGCGCCGCCGCCGCCGCCATCGACGCGTTCCTGTCGCTCGACTGCTCTCTCGTCCTCCCCAACGCCGCCCAGCTCCTCACCCGCTGGAGGCGGAGGCCGTCGAGCGGGCAGCCTTCGGAGGAGCAAGCACGCACGAGGAAGGCTACGGTGGCGGCGTCGCCTAGGAAGTCGGGGAAGAAGAGGCGGAAGACGAGGTCGGGGTGCGCGGCGCGGAGCGCATCGCGAAGTTGAGGGTGCGGAGGGAGGGGTGGATGCCGAGGCGCGAGGCGAGCACCTCGGCGGCGTCGGGCGGCGGGAGCACGGGGGAGATAGAAGAAGACGAGCTCAAGCACGACGGCGAGCGGAGTGGGGTGACGGCGCGTGAAGCCGGCGAAGTTGCGGCGGGCGGAGAAGGCCGGCGAGGCGGTGGCGGTGGCGGACGACGACGACGACGACGATGGCGGCCCACGCGCGCAGCTCCTCCCCCACACGCCCGCCGGCTCACAGCTCCTCCCCCGCCGCTCAGTTCTTCCGCGCCGCCGCCACCCAGCTCCTCCCCCATCGCCGACGCCGTCCAGTTCCTCCCCCGCCGTCGGTGCCGCCCAGCTCCTCCGCGTTGGCCGTCCGCCGCGCCCACCGTACCCAGCCTTATCGCCCGTTGAAAGGGGAGGAGGGGAAGTAGAGGCTGACATGTGGGGCCCACGCGGGTCACACGCTAAGTCAGCTGCCACGTCGGTCTAGGCCGTCGAGAGACCTAGTTTGCAGTTGTTTTGTAAATTAAGGGATGCTTTGTATCCGGTTTTACGGTTGGGGGACTATTTTTTTTATTCGATGATAAGTTGGGTTGTTGGCGTTGTATCCGATTTTGCGGTAGGGGGACTATTTTTTAATTCGATGATAAGTTGGGCTGTTGGGGGACCTTCGGTGTACCTTTTCCAAAGATTAAAAAGCCTAAAAAAAAATGGTCGTCGACAGCAGGGTTCGAACCTGCGCGGGCGAAGCCCAACAGATTTCAAGTCTGTCTCCTTAACCACTCGGACATATCGACGCTCTTGTTTCGAGTTTTGTGATTACTATTTAACTAGCTGAACCAACTACACCATCAACAAAAAGATCAACCGCGTATATGATGATGATAGAAAGGTCCATAAATTTTGTTAGCTTGTCACATCAATTCCTACTCAAGTTAAACACACACTATACTTCCACGTACAAGAGTCGATATTGACTTTGCCTTTCTTTTCTTTTTTTTTCTTTTGAATGTATTTTGCCTTTCGTTTTACTCATCCAATTCATTTTTTAGTTATAAACTCCTTTTCAGTCTTTCAGTCAAGTTCCATCGTGCTATAGTCCAAACCTAACCGATCATTTACCACCACATAAACTAAGCATATGTTACATTAAAACAAATCACATAGTACTTTCATTATTTCAAACGAACATAATGATACATAAACACATGAAAGAAATTAAGGGAGATGTTGCAAACATATCCGCAAGAAACACGACACAATGTGCGTTTGCACTACTGGACATGAACACAGCTTGCCTCTTAATCATTTCTTAATTAATCCTTCTGCAGTTCTTCCTGATCTCCCCGTTTGATCCCGTCAACGGTGTGATGTCCCCCATCTTGATCATGCCCGTCACAAAATCCGCAAAGAATGTGCTCTGGCTACTTATGTAAGACTGAACAAGAGCATCAGTGGCTCCGCCATTGAAGAGCTCCTGATCAGAATGCAGGAGCCCCTTCTTGACGACGAGGTTCTTGTAGTAGTTGTTCTCGAACACGGTTGGCGTCTGAAGATCCAGAGGTGCCAGGTTATTGTCACCTGATCCTGAGTTACGAGGGCAACCTGATTGCCTCCTCATCGCAAAGCCACTGTCGATGTTGGTTTCGTTGTATATATGAGCTCTGAAGTTTGTGCATCGTGCTTGCCCAATGGTGTGAGATCCTGCAGGTACAATATGAAATCATGCTATACTTAAGAGCTGAGCATATGTGTAAGAATAATTTAGAATATTTAAGAGCTGAGCTTTTAGGTCTTTGCTTTTGTATAGTATTGTGAATATTTTTATTTTAGAAAGAAAGTATAGGTTCTTCATCATTCCCTAATATTAATTGGAATACAGAAAAAAAATCAACATTATTCGATCACATTTATTAACAAACAGAACAAAAGGAACATTATCTGTGGTTGTAATTAATAACTTGATGGGTAGCCAGGGTTTATCAACTTTATTCTTGCTTTTGGTTTTTTAGGAAACAAATTAATTTTTGCTTTTGTGATTTAGCCAATTCACGGCATGTGATGGCAGACTGATCTTTTCGATCGGCAGCAGTCTGTACTGATTACTGAACCTTAAAAAGAAAAGCCTGTACTATTTCTTCAGAAGCAAATTAACCCATACCGACAACGCAGACACGGTTAGGAGTACGTCATTACCTCAAAGTAACTTTATGCCATCCCATCGACAACCATGCTTACCGACTTTGCTACTACGTTTTGTTTGGTTAACAAGTAAGTTAACAAATTGCATGTTAAACAGATGACACTGAATCTTTCTTTTTCTTAAAAAAAATAAACAGGGGAGACAAGTGGGGACTCAGAGTCAGAGGTTATACTGCTAGTTGAATCTGAGATGTTTATGCAGACTTTCGTAAATTAATCATCTTGTCAAAGTAGTATAGGCTTGGAGAATGCCAAGTATGCTGCAAATTGAAAACGTAGCTATCTGTTCCGTTTGCGTGGTACCCAGCTGTGTGCAGATCGACACAAAAGCTACTGATACTATTCAGAAACAGAGTGTGAAATGAAGTTGTTCCGAACCCTTTTTCCTTTTCCCTTCTAGAAGGGATTGAAAAATGGAACAGTTGACGATGCTTGTTCGTTTAGTTATGTGAATGAATTGATGCTTGCATTTATAAATTTTTATTTTTGTTAGTTAACAAGCTAGACTTAATTGAATGCTCAGTGGAAACAAAAATACTAGTAACAGCTAGCAGTGGTTACCGGAGAGGGCGACCATGTCCTTCTGGGAGAGGGCCTGCGCGGCGAAGAGGGAGGTGAGGTTGGCGAGTCCCGACGTCGGCGGCGGGATGTTGTTGTTTGCGCCGCTGAGGCTCGCCGTGCGCGAGTCTCTCCGACCAACCTTCACGTCCCAGCTCGGCCCACCCAGCTGCATATATGTACCATTTTCAGTTTCAGTTTCAGTATATAGAGATCGATCGATCGAAGTGGAGTACGTACGATGGCGACGCTGTCCCTGGCAGCGATGGCGAGGATGTCGGCGCAGGAGACGACGCCGGGGCAGATGGTCTCCACCGCCGACTTGATGGCGTCGATCACCTCAAACCCTCTGACGGAGCCGTTGTTGGGGTTCGCCGTCTTCTCGCCGGTGAAGCTCGCCGTGTCGTCCAGCAGCAGCGATGCGTCGCAACCCTGGCATTCATACATGCACAGATTAATTATATAGCATGATCAATGTGTGCGTGCGTATACTTGTACTAGGTAGAGGATGGTTACTTGGACGAAGCAGTCGTGGAAGAAGAGGCGGACGATGGAGGCGCCGATGCGCTTCTCCCTGGCGATGGCCGACTGCATCCCCCGCTTCACCGCGTTGAACACTCCCGGGCACGAGTACGAGTAGAAGCTCGGCGACAGCTGCGCCCACGACCCGCCGGCGACCGCGAGCACCACCACCACCATCACGACCAGGGCGGCAGTGACGCGCCTTGCTGACCAAGTCGGCTGAGCCATATTGATATTGCTCAAGGAGCTAGCAGGTAATCAATGCGTGCCAAAATATATAGGAGTATGTGAGTGTGGTAAGCTTAGTTAGCTAGCTTGTTGATTTGGTGAGTGCACCAGTGCCTGGAGATAGCAGAGCTGTGGTGGTGCATGTATTTATAGCTGAGTTAGAGCTTCACAGAGGCACAAGAGTATGTAGCTAATTAGAGTATGAATTAAAATACATGGTGTCTTCATGATTAGATTGCGTCATGGTCATCTCTGTGTCTTAATGTTCACCTACTCTGTTGGACTTTGAGTTGATCATCAATCAAACCGTCCATGCTGAATATGCTGCTGGCCGTCAGAGAATCAGACGCTTCACACTATGCAAAGCCTGCACCTTCAGCTAGCTGCACTGTCTATACCATCTTTCTTGCCGTGTCGGTCCTTTTGCTGTGCCTTTTCCTTATATTGTTAGGCATTGTGGAGTAGCCACGTATACTAGTGCACCATTCTTTTCTTTTCTTCTTCTCTTTTCTTTTTTGCAGTTTCAGAAAAAAAAGAGAAAAGAATGTACACGTACTTTTAGCTAGGATTTGGTACGTGAGAACACTTGGACCGCGTCCAACAGTTATACACGCTTAAGTAAAGCTAAAGCATCATCATGCATGCCTACATATATATGCATAATGCATAGTACTCCCTCGTTCTCTAAATATTTGACCGTTGACTTTTTTAAAAATGTTTGACCGTTCGTCTTATTCAAAAAATTTAAGTAATTATTAATTCTTTTTTTATCATTTAATTTATTGTTAAATATACTTTTATGTATACATATAGTTTTACACATTTCACAAAAGTTTTTTAATAAGACGAACGGTTAAACATGTTTAAAAAAGTCAACGGCGTCAAACATTTTAGGATAGAGGGAGTATATATGCATAGTTGAAAAAACCGAATCGGTGATCGAACCGCTCAAGTCCCTGGGTCACCGGTCCAGCGGTTCAACCGCCGGTTCACACGGTTCGAATGTTGAACCGGAAGTGTTATATTGTTGCATATCCTCCGTTGAAAACAGCCAGCCAACCAGGGTTCGAACCCCATTCCCCACATTTTTCTTGCTATTTTCAATAGTACACATTCACCGTGGGCCTTGAGATCTTTGCGCGCACAAGGCATTGACTGGCCCATCCTCTCTTGGCATGACAAACCGGCCGGCTCGGTTCTCTCTGGTTCACCGGTTCACATGAAAACCATCCGGTTCAAGCGGTTTATTCCGGTTCAAATGCAGGGGCGGTCTTTACAGCAAACCGAGCCATCCAGACCTCTGGTTCCGGTTCAACCGTCGGTCCGGTCTGGTTTTTTGTACTATGTATATATGTGTGTCTTTTGTAGTTGTTCCTTTCTTTTTTTTTCCCCTTTTTCCTAAGGGAGCTAGGCTAACACATGCAGTTAGCAAGCTGCTCATTATCAAATGATCGATCATGGTAATCAAAGTACATGGCCTTGGAAAGCGCCATTGAAACTCGAAAGTAGCTACATGGACGTTCATGGGCAAAATATGTCTACGAGGATCGACAATTCAGTCGTTTAGTATATACTAGTCAAAGAAGATCATGCTGGTCGTTGGTTAATACACTATAGATTACTCACCTTCCAAGTTACTACTATCATATGCAGTCAGCAAAAATTCTTTAGCTTTTACTAACAACTCAGATAACTTAAAATAGTACAGTATATTGCAATATAATGCAATTAGTTTTACTTCCGACATGATGCATTTCTACCTGCCGGAGCATGGGTGCTAGCTTAGGCAGGAGTCCAAGCCGTTTAGCTGACGAATTTGACCTGCATACGTCCATTCCGGTTAGGTTTGCTTCTCCATTTTGTTATAACAACATCCATGTACCAGATGTCGCTTCTCCATTTTGTTATAATAACATCCATGTACCAGATGTATCTGCTCATATATCATTATTTTTGTTTGTTATGTAATGCTGTTGTAAGATTTTGTAGGTGTTGTTTTGGGTCAAAGTATAGTACTACTGTGGTACTTAGTTTTAGTGCAGTTCACACAACCCTAATTAACCTCCCACTTTAGAGAGGTTATTTTTTATTGGTTAATTTGAGGCCTTTGACAAGTGCATGCGTACTGATCGATCTCCATGATCTTGCTTTTAGTCCAAGGGACCTGATGAGCAGAGGATGGAGAAGTTTCCTAAAGCTAATGTTGTTGTTTTTCATATATATATATATATATATATACATACTATAAATTAAACTTGACACACGCAAACATGCATGAGAAAAAGATCAGCTTAGTATATTGCACTACGTACATGCATGTTCCTCTGATCTTACGAAAAGTCTAGTAGCTAATTAACTAGCAACTGCAATAGAAGCATATGCAGATGAAATGTCAGTCACTGATTTGCTGAGATTCTGTCTGGATGGCCTATATAGTTGATCAATAACCATCACGCACAAGTGCACACACCATATTTGATCATTGGCCAGTTTAATTCTTTTATGGAGAACGAGGCAGGAGCTATAGCATATCACCAACCAAAATCCAAGATAAATATATAGTTTACACGGCTCGATCAGCTAGCTAGTGTAAGAGCAACTTGATTTAAGCTAAACGAATGACAGGGGGGAAACATTAGAAAAGCTAGCACGGTGAGTTCACCTATCTTTCGTCTGCTTTATTTCTTCCTAGTTACTAGTAGCTCTGCTATCAGCTAGAATAACACGTACATGTAGGAGCGCGCTAATTAACCCCAACAATTCTGCATGCCGTATACGTAGCCGTAGAGAGACCAGGCCCAACACACATGAAGAAGATTAGAATATTACTCATGATGATACTCAGTTGCTTAGTATACTAGCTAGTTGGATGCTCGTGCGTAACAACGGAAACCTAAACTTAAATATAAAGTATTATTTACGCTATTTTTTCTATTTTTTTACTAAAGGATATAATTAATGTTATTTTGCTCTTTTTTTTAACTGGCGAGGATATGTAGGGGTGTGGCGTACTTAAAAAACAGACTTCCCAGAGGATATATACGTGTCATCATTGTTGAACTTGCCGTCTAATTGACACAGCAGCTCCAACCTTAAGATGGACGCATCATCGAACCTATCTGTTATCGTGGTAGCAGTTAACGCCTTAATGGCATCGACTATAATCGCTTGCTTATAAGTGACTAGTAGTAAATATCCTTACTACGGAAAGGACGAGCAAGATATATAAGGCCGGTCGATATAGGAAGTACATTATGAAATTAACTAGCAGTACAGGATTGTTAGATGGAGTGTCGGAATTAAGAATCAATTAGGCAAAGCAAGCAGCTGATGCAGTACAAAGATTCGATTTGGATCGTACTCAGCAAACCTAAAACTCAACGTCGTACGTGTACTCCGTCATCGCAGATTAAACTGCAAATAATCCATCCTTAATCACCTATTTACCTTTAGGACCTTTAGGATGATCAATCATGCATTGAGCATGAAAAACATCATATTGCCATACGTGCATGTTATCAATTGAAGTAGTGACATGGACAATGGCATTTCAGGTCTTGATTTAACCAATACAAAATGTAGATAAGTCAAAATGTCCTTCCGGTAGCTCAAATGTCTCATTTTGTTTTCTGGGGAGATGTTTTTATGAGAAGGCTGCACTTTGGCAAGAAACCTTTTCTGGAACTACCTACCTAGCTAATTAACCATGACAAGACGTCTAGCTTGTTTCTTGTAGTATATAATATATTATAGATAAAAATTAAAACTAATTGCACAGTTTACATGGAAATCACGAGACGAATTTTTGAGTCTAATTAGTTCATGATTAGTTATAAGTGCTATAGTAACCCATATATGCTAATGACGGCTTAATTAGGCTCAAAAATTCGTCTCGCGGTTTTCAGACGAGTTATGAAATTAATTTTTTCATTCGTGTCCAAAAATCTTTTCCGATATCCGATTAAACATCCGATGTGACATTCAAAAAATTTTCTTCTCGTGAACTAAACACAATCTTAGTCAACCGAATTCAGTGCTACATGGCTGCCGAATGCATTCGATCATGCAGGTAGTGGGTTTATCTGCTTTTGGACCGCAATCAATGGAGGTTTTGGCTGATCAAACAAGACCAAATCTGCATGCATGTCTAGTACTCTAGTATACTGCAGAAGGAAAACAGAGACCATGCATCTACAGTATATTAACAAGTCAATGGCCTACAGTGTGCTAGCTAGTTAAGCTACTTAGCTTGACAAGACATCATTAACAAAAGTTAAAGAGCTGTTAAGATGTAAAGAGACTGGTCAACAATCAAAAGATGGAGATTGGGCAACAAGGCTAATACTAAGTTCCATCATGCATTCTTGTCAAGATAAAAGACACATGATAAGGAGTTGCATCTGAAAAGATTTGGCTACTAGAGGTAAGGCGTACAGATGCACATCCCACTACATGCAAACCTATCGGTTTTTTAAGCGCAAAGATTATAAACTTTGGTCCGGTAACCCACAACCATATTTGTTATAAATTTCATCATACACGATCAGGAACATTTATATCCTTACAGACTAGGCGTTCATCAAAATCGTGAAAACGGATTTTAATATACTGAAGTTTCAGATGTTCTTATACATATGGAGGTTAATTATACACTATGCAAATGCAATCAAGCAATAAATTCAGTTTCTAAGCTGGTTTTAAAGACAACTAAAACCGGCTATTGCTTAGTATGAGATAAAAAAAATGTAAGAGATTTTAAAAGGACGTGACACATTCTAGTACTATAAATCTAGATAGGCTATCTATGTCTAAACTAGTAGTACTAGGATGTGTCATAATTTTTTTTTAAAATCCCTTATATTATGAGACGGAGGGAGTATAATTTACCTACCTTGTTATAAGTCACATATGGACCTTGATTTGTGAGAATTGAAGTACAAAGATTATAAATCTTGGTCTACTAACCTCTAGATATGTCTGCATTCTTCTTCTCACCCTCTTTCATTGTTTCTTGGTAAGTTGGTAGATCAACTCGAGAAGCTTAACCAATGTATGCAACGATATCATGCCATCTACCACGTGCTCCATCACTCGTTAGCACACCTCGTTGGTGCTACCTACCCATAACCTATCCCCTCGTAATTGCATCTCTATTTTCATCTCTACTTCATTTCTCTCGTGTTATTGGCCTCCTCCGCCTTCAACATATTTTGCTATTATATTGGATCCACTATCATAACATGATTGTTTTCTCTCACTGTCTTTTTAGAGCATCCACTACTTTTCTTACTTCTCAACGCCAACTCAACGCTGAAGCCGCTGCCTCACCATCTCGTCACACAATAGTAGTATTTTGTACCACCACCTTGATGTCCCTCTAAATGAGGAAACCCTCGCAAAGTCTCCATCCCACTCACATGTCCAATTGCGAAACTTAACCATCATAGGCACATAAAATCGAGGAGTAAATTGGAAGGTCACAAATTTACAAAATTTTATCCTCAAATTTATGTTGAACTCCCTTGTAGCACATATCTGATGCATATTCGATCAAACGCTTCACAATGATTGTTTTTCCCCTTACAAAAAACTCATCATAAAATTTGTGAAGTGCGAGGGGTATGAAGAAAAATACATCTTAACCCGAGGTTGTCCGTTGAAAACACCCGCCAATCTGGAGATATTTAACCATTTGCCACATTTAGATGTGGCAATTAACTTTTTGCCACTGGACCCACATGTCATAGACACATGTGGACCCACATGTCATTGAGATAGGGGTGGCAAATAGTTATTTGCCAAATCTAAAAGTGGCAAATAGTTAAAAGCACCGCCAATCTGTCGTCGCCGCGCCGGCCCTCACTGGAGATCGCCTCTCGTGTTCCCTTCCTTCCCCTCGCGAAGAAAATTGCAATATTAGAACTGCAAATATGGTGGCTTCGCTGTTTTGACACTCCGTGTGGATGACAAATGGACCTATTTGTGTCTATGAAATGTGGGTTCAGTGTTATTATAGAAAATATTAATGCTTGCAGTGTCATAATTGCAAATCCCCTTCGCTTCCATTCCATCCACGGATTGAAGAGGAGATGGAGGCGGCGGGCGGGCAGCTGGAAGCGGCGCTGCTCCTCATTATGCAACGCCACCACCACCATTCCCTTCATCAGCGCAAGATAACCGGTAACCCTAACCCCCTTCGATCCGATCCCCTATTGATTTCGCCAAAATACCAAAATTTTGATGAAATTTCCTTTCCACCTTTGATTTTTCAAGTGCCAAGTGACCTTTTTTGTTCCCCGTCAATACATACAGACAGAGAAAAGATCGATGCAGTGAGGAGCGCGGCGCGGGTTGCAGATCTTCTCGTGGCCACGGTTGATGGCGGAGCGCAGGAGCTCTACATCAACGAGAGGCGCATAGAGATTGAAGCCCGCGCGCTGCTTGCTACAATCGCACGGTACAAGAAGCAGACTGACCAGTGGCTTGCCGCCACCAACGCAATCAACTCTGTCTTGAAGGTCTACTCATCTTCCTTTCATCTCCTTTTTTTAGATGCTTTTCTCCGGTTCATGGATACTACTCTTACTAGAGCACCAATCGCATGCTCTTTTATCGTCAAATAATAAAAAATGAGATGACATTGCTTGGATTGCTTTCTTTTGGTGCAGTTCATTTTCCCCAAAAGTATCCATGTGCAGCACTGCGTTTGGAATAACATGATAAATTCTATAGTACAATGCTGGGCAATTTGCGTAGTTTCCTTAGTCGATCATATTCCATTTCTTGTTGCTGAAACATCTGTTGTTTTATTTTGTTACAGGAAATTGGAGATTATGAGAACTGGATGAAGATCATGGATTTCGACTGTAAAAGTATAAATGCAGCTATCCGTAACATTCACCACTCCTGACTTTGCTTTCGACTATGGTGTTAGGAAGATTTTATCTACTCAGTTGGCACTGTTGTTCTTTTTCTTTTCCCCTTTGAGTTGTCAACTCTGTTGTATAGGACTGGCTTGCTCTACACAATTGAAAAACAAAACCTTCCCAATCATTTTACTGGGAAACCTTCCGTGGGAAACAATATATTTTGTTGCAAATATTTGTCTACCTCAGAAAATAAATATTGGTTCTAAGGAGAAATCTCCATCTACTATATGACAAATTGTCAATGTTTTCACTTTGTTATTGAATATGACTATATGATATTATCTAAAACAAAATCATGATATGATATATTATTAGCTTTTCCTTGTTGCTGATATAGGCACTTGCATATCTGCATATCAAGTGCAGACGGTAGGAAAATATCTAATGTTCAAATTTTCCTTTTCAAATAAGCATGATTGCCACATTTCTTAATGGTGATTTTAATCATCCTGTGATCATATACCTGAACCCTACACAATTGATATGTAATTTGTCAACTTTGATATACTACGGTTATGAGTTGTACTAGTTAAGAAACTATAGTCAATGAACTGAATATTGGAATTAAGCCAAGTAATGATCACTGCCAGCATGACAAGTCATTCTGAACAGTTGTTCTTAACCATTATTATTACAAGTTTGTTTTAGTCATGAAATTCATCAACCATAGTAAGAGGCTTGGAGCCGAGTTTTGTTATCAATGATCTTTCAAGTGCAAGAATTGTGGATGAAAAGATGAAAGGCCATATCAACTGTTACACCAGTTGCCTTTTTATGCCATTTTATTCTTTCACATATGTGTTCTTTAATAGCAATACAGACACCTTTCAAAACGACTACAGCATCAGGAAAGGGACACTTCTCCCTTCTCTGAACATTACACTCTTCCGCACAGGCACACACAGGCTTAGACTGTAAAAATTTATGACCTAGTTTACCTTCCTGCAGTTCTTCCTGATCTGTCCACTAGATCCAGTAATGGGGTTGATGTTGCCCATCTTCACCATTGCTGCGCTGAAATCAGTGAAGAATGTTGCCATGTTTGATGAGTAGGTGGTCGTCTGGGAATCTGCTGAACCACCATTGAATAGTTGCTGGTCAGAATGCAGGACACCCTTCTTGTTCAGCAGGTTCTTGTAGTAAAAATTGTCAAAGGCGTAGGGCGTCGATGCATCAAGGGGGGATATGTTGTTGTCGCCAGTCGTGTTTGGACAATTTGATTTCAGAGATGTTGCCAGGGAAGTGTCGATGTTGGTCTCACTGTAGATGCGGTTGCGAAAATTGACGCACCTTGCCTGGCCTATGGTGTGAGCCCCTGGCATATATTTTTATTTGATGTTAGTGATCAATTGATCAGTAGCATCTTGATACTAAACAACCTGTTGGGGTTGCACCATGATATATTGATACTCCTACATAAATGTAACACCACTTGTACAGTTTGTTTTGACAATCAAGCTTCAGCAAGGATAGCTGTTTTATTTTATGGTTTTATTATAGATGGTATTATATACCAAAAAGTTCCATTTACATACACAGTACCTGAGAGTGCAATCATGTCAGTTGCGCTTAGTCCTTTGTTTGAAAAAGACTTCGTGAGATCACCAAGGTCAAAGGTTGGAGCTGGAATGTCATTGTTTGCAGTATCCAGGCTTGCTGTTGTTGAGTCGCGCCGTCCCAGCTGGACAACCCAAGTAGGACCTCCTAGCTGAAAAATAAATTGTCGGTTTTCATATGTCACTACTGATTGTATTTTATAAATATCAATTAATTTATTTTACTATCTTTGGCAACTTGACTTTTAATACTTTGTAAGGCTTGTTTTGGTATAGAATTTCATAGCTATACATAAAGAGTTATGTTTTGTTCATTTCAGTTGCTCATCTTCTGACGTCAGGAGTTCCTGTTAACTTTTTAAGACAGACAAATAACTAACTTTTAGTTTGATATCCTTTGTATTTTCTCCCCTTACCGCAACAACAGATTCGCGTGCCGCCACAGCAAGGATGTCAGCACATGAGACCACCTGCGGACAGATCCCCTCAATATGTGCCTTGATGTTGTCTATAACATCAAATCCACGCAGAGAGTTGTTGTTTGGAGCAGCGGTCTTCTCTCCAGTGAATGTTGGAGTGTCATCTAGCAGCACCGAGCCATCACAACCCTGCATTGTCAGAATACTGAAGGTTATTACGTAATACTTAGAAGTGAGAAAATTTTGAATATCTCTGCAGGTTCAGGACACTTTCATTGACAAAGCAGTCGTGGAAGTGGAGGCGGAGCAATGATGCACCCATGCGGTTCTCCCTTGCGATGGCAGATCTCACGGCTATTCGGATGGTGGGCAGTGCATTAGGGCATGATTTGTCATAGAAATTTGCGCTAAGCTGAGCTGACACCAAGTTTGCAGCAAATAACAAGGCAATGGCACTGCAAGCAAAGGGTTTAGGGGAAGCCATTTGGTTTGGAGGCTTGAGTGCTGTTGCTGGTTGCCAGTCAAATGTACACGAATATTTATAGGCAGAATTCTGTGCACGTGCTCAATTTGTCATATGTATATTATTGTGGCTTTGTAATTCTTTGCATTTTGTTAGTTGATCTTCCTTTTTTTTGTATCAGGCTAATTAATGGAAAACTCTACAGTCAGAAAGTGCATGCAAGTGGAGAGGATCAGATGGGGGCATGCCAACATGACAAGATACCCTTTGTGGTTTGGTCTTTTGATCCCTCCACTAAGATGTAACCATCTAGAAGAATTACTGAAAAACCAAATGGATAGCTCTGGAGACTCGAGGTAAATATTATCCATGAATGCACATATGTTTGCTCCCTTTTAGTATAAACAAGATTGTGTGGTTTTGTACCTCTTTCTGTACAAAAGAATGTTAACCTATTTTATGGTGACAAAATTAATAGTGTAATCGTATAATGGAGGTGTTTTGTAGTGGAGAAAATTGAATTTGTGGTGTTCTGACTCGAGTGACAAAAAAAATGAATTTCTGCTGGATGGTAGGTGAATGATCTTATCAGTTATCACTGAACTTGTTATTTCTTATTGTTCAGGTTGACTTGTTCTTCTACAATATCGTTGTTGTAGTTTGTAGTACAACCTAGCCAAAACTGTTGTGGTTTAAACTATTGGGTAAAATGTTTGCTAATGGTTATTGAAAACTCGAACTATGATATCAACAAATAGCTGTAGTAGTCCACAAATTAGAGTGGCTGCATTGAGATAATATATGTACTTTAGGCATGATCAGTTGGGTCATAACTTTAGGTGTGAACTAATTCATTAGCCGGAGATACTTTGTCAACAAATTGTGCACCTTAAGTCACTTTTAGCAGTGTGATCTCCTTTCTTTTATTTTAAAACATGAAAATAATTAACTATTAGGAAGATAGAGGAGTATCATTAACCAATCCTACATTCCATGTATGCAAACCCCCCAAACTTTGGAAGTTTCTCTTGATTGTCGAATATTTTCGTTGTTCAATTTGGAGGAGCTTTTCCTCCGGATGTCAATGGTGTTTTCAACTGCTTCTGTTACCTATCCGTTCATTCGAATTGATATTTGCATTTGCATACAACTGCAGAATATGGTGGTATCTTTCACAAGCCGCATCCAAAGACTAGTGACTCAGAAAATTGTGCTCAATCCTTGCATGGATGGTGCTTGCCAGCCAATTGATGTATGTTGACTCGACTGCATGCATACACAGAAGTAAGATGCAGAGTGGGAGCAGTTGGGCTGGTGGTGAGTGGTGAGCACAAGCAGAAACGAAAGCAAAGCAAAGGAAATGGCAGCCATCTCTTTCAAAGAATATTCAGTGCCTTGCCTTGTATTGTATTTGCAGCATCAAAGCCACTCACTACTTATTTTAATTATCTTGGATTCTGCAAAGAAACAAGATTTTGACGAAGCTGATTGTGCCAGACGGCCTGTTTGTGGATAAAACGGTACCTTGTATGAAGAATAATCTTCTTCATGACTTGGGGGGGTTCGATCTGCGTGGTCTAATAATGGCAGTATCGCAATCAGTATCACTGTTTAATTGATTATTACAAAGAAACAAATGTTTGGTTTTGGTTGATTTGATAAGTCATCAGTCCACACCTTATACTGCATGCTGCAAAAGCACATGTTGAACGGCGACATGTTATATGACTTCTGTGTTGGTGCTAGGCACATGAAGCTCCATCTATAGCTTCTAGCATAATTAGGCTGAGGGTGTCGAGTAAAATGCCAGTCATAGATTGAAGGAAATTTATGTAGGAGTATAACACAGGTAACTTAGAAAAAAACTGAAGAAAATTCATCAGACGTAACTTTGAAGAAAAATTAGTACTCCAAGCCAGCAGTTACTTCCAGAAAAAACAAAGATCATAGCCATTGTTTAGGTCAAACGGGGGAAAGCACCGGTCTCATCTTAATATCTAAGTACTTGATATTGTACAACTACAAGCAGAAGACAAAGCCAACGTCAGTAGGGCTTTGACTGGTGATGATTACGGTACACGGGTTATACTAACTCGCAGTTACATTGTCGTAAAACTATGCGAGCGTGCTTCTGTACAGGTAGGGTAGTCACATATTCTAGTAATTTCTTACAAGCTAGCTGCACCGATACACTGATTTAACTGAGTCTTCACTCCAGGTCCGTCTCTGAGGCCTCCTCCTCTGGCAGCTCAAAGGCATCAACCTCCTCAAAGTAGGCTCTCTGCTTCTTGACAAAATCTTCTGGTAGCATATGTTTACCTGAAGATGTATTCTCCATCCTCGTGCTCTTCGTCTGTTCAAAGTTTCAAGCAATAAAAAAGGTGAAACATCATGACAACTGTTTATTTTTCTTTGAGAGGCGTTTCTGCAAAAGCTGTTTATGAAGACACTGGTGCAGCTGGTTTCATTACCTTCACCGGCTCACCCGATGAAATGTCTAGGACCGAAACTCAAAAACAAAACAAGAACAGTGCACTCTACTTGTGTACCTAAGCTAGGTGATTCCTAAAATGGCCAAGAGCATATTATACTTTGCCGGGCAAGAGCATATTATACTTAGCATCATAGCATATATCCATAAAGCACACCAATGCAGTGTGTGTCAAAATATTCATAGGATAACATCTGGATATGCAGTATCACAGTTGAATTGCAGAATATATATAAATATGGTCAGGGAAGTGCAAGAGAAATCAAATACATAGCACATTTAGCTTTTAGTAATTATTACATGGCAAAGGTGGGCAAAAATGTAATGGACAGTGCATCATGTAGATCACTCCAAGAGGCAATAGCACAATGATTCAATACCTAATAACAAAACATGTATTATGGTTCTAGGAAATGCAACTGACCTTTTTAGATCGATGACAAGGAGCCGAGGATGAAATAGGCCGAGTACCCTGAGCCTCAGAGGTTTTGCTAGTCAGAATTCAGAAAAACAACAAAGAAAAGTGCAATTTAGTATTTCAGATATTAAAGTGCACCCACTGTAACTATTTGTTGGCTGTGAATGAACTAACAGCACAACCCTTTCTCAGGGACTATAATGAGCCTTACAATCTCAACATACAGATTTTTTTTTACGGGAAATATACAGATTCTTCACAGTAATGCAGATAGGATGCCCACAATTTCCTTGACAAGATTTGCAATTATCTGGGTAGGAACATAACAGTTATCCTTCTACTTGAGTCAAAGTACAGCCATACAGCATCATGCTAAAGTGGTGACAGTGATTGTCATGGACCTTTTACTCTTATTGTACCATTTCCAACTGCAATGCATTGAGAAAGAACAAAAGTCTGGATTACTTCCACATTCAGTTTAATGTAGCTGATTTTCAGGCTAAAACAAGAGAGTGATCCAAGGCACGAACCACCCCAGACCCCACCACTAGAAGATTGCAGTGTCTTTGTCCCATAAGTCAATTTGCACAACAAGGTAGTAGTGCCGTTTGGGATGAAGCAAAATTATTACGAAATGCAAGTGAATGAAATCTGTAGTAGGTGCATGCAGATAAAGAAAGAAAAGGGGGAGCAACCTGTTTTTACTTGCGAGAGTTGCAGGAGGAGGGCAGCTTGCTGTTCCGGCAGGAAATGGTGTGTTGTCGTTGGTTCTCCTCCTCTTCTGGGTGGTGTTGCGCCTTGTATACACGGTGGAGATGGCCGATTTAACCAAGCTACGCTCCTCAGCAGCTGCAATGGCGAGGGTTAGAAAATCCCAACTGCTACAACGAAGCGCGCAGAGATTGGATTGGGGGGCAGCGGTCTCACCGGTGGCGGAAGAAGGCTTGGAGACGGGAGTGTGCGAGGGAGACGCGGAGCAAGTGGAGGCAGCGGCGGTGGTGTCGGAGGGGAGTGGGCGGGGGCGGGCGGTGATAGGGTTGGTCGGGGTGCTCGGGAGGAGGAGGTTGGTGACGTCGCCCAAAGGCTGCGCCGCCGCACTCCGCTGCCGCTTCACCTTAGGGCTGCGGTGCCTCTCTGACGGCGGCGGTGTCGTGGTAGCAGCGGCGGGCTCCATCGCATCGCTGAGTCGAGTCGCTGGCGGTGGCGGTGGAAGAGAAGAGCGGGAACGCAGGGGCGGTGGTCGGTGGCCGGTGGCCGGAGTCGGAGAAGAAGATTGCAGAAGAAGCCAGAAGGGGAATTTTTCCAAAGAAAAGATACAAGTTTTGGGCCGAGAGCGTGATTGTTTGTCAGCCCAAGCCCACCCATCGAAATAAGGGATATACGCCACGGAAATAAGTTCACTTTGACTTCCTTGAGTATTAACCGAATCTAATTCGTATTGCCGGATATTTCGGCCCCACAACTATTAAAACCGGTACAATTTGGCTCTCTCAAAGGTTTTGTAGGGCGGTTTCGCTAACGTGACGGTGTTGACTTGGTTTTCGTTCGATGTGGTGCTTATGTGTATTAATTAAAAAAATATACGCGTGACCCATTTATCATTCACACAAAAATAATATGGGGACCCACATGGCATCCTCTTTCCTTCCTTCTTCCTCCTCCCTCTCTCTCTTTCTTATTTCTCTTTCTCCCCTGTTTCTTCCTTCTTCAAATGACAGTGGATCGTTGTCATCGGTAGCCCCGGTGGTGGAGGCGTTGGGGGCGGAGACCGGGAGGGAGAGACGCCGAAGGAGATGAGCGAGCGAGGAGGAGGGCGGCGAGGGCGACTCCCGGCGGCGCAGTTGACAGTGCTTGCCAGCGCCGCAGAGGGCGGACCCCTCTTGCTGCCGCCACCGTTCGAGCACTTGTCGATCTATCGATATCCGGCCCTGCGACGGGCGGCGTCGGGTGAACGTCAGCTGGGATGAGGTTGGAGGAGGCGCCGGCCGCCGCTGCTTCGGCACACGTAAGCCGCTGCTGCCGACGATGCAACACTCACTCCCATGAAGAGAAACCGAGGAGAAAGAGAGAGAACCCAACATATGTAAGGCTACGTGCAGCTGATAGCAGAGACAAGCGGGAACGACCCTCCAACAATTTTTTCGACATAGAATTGCCCAATTAATTAAGATAAATAAGTAGAAGTAGTGTATTATACCCTCTTAAGAATTTTAGATCCCTCACATATCTAAATAATAATTCCGGTGTCCTCAAGATCACTACAGAGGAATTATGTGGGACTATTGTCAAATTGTCACTGCCCCCATGCTATTATGGCACTATTAAAATAAACCGTAGAAAATTACATGTTAACCTCTCTAGAAGCAAAAATAACTCTAAAGACGTGAGGAAAACGGTATGGGTAGGAGGGTTATTAATTGATGATGTGGTTTGGTTAAAATATTATTCTGTACTTGGATTTATCAAGATGCCATTCTCGATTAGGGGAGTTTCTTAACAACAAAATACGAGACTTTTGCATGATTTTAAATCTTACATTAACTTTTGCATATATTCATTTCGATGAAGAATGGGTATGATCCTATAAAATTCCTGTGAAATGCCTCATTCAATAAAAAATAAAGACCTGAAATTTTATTTGTGGTATCTATCTATCATCCCCTTCTCAAATTTTAGTGTTTTATTAGTAGCTATCCAAACGGCTATTCCTACGTTAATTTTCATGTTTTGTAATGATCTGTTTTGCCATTGAAGTCTTATGAATTTTTCTTTTTTTAAAAAAAAATCATCATGTTCCTGCGTGAAATAAACAAGCCTTAGCAAATGTAAAATACAATGGCTATTGATTAGGCCTTTTATTTTACTTGTTACTAGTAAGAAAAAACACAACACTTGTGAAACATGCGAGGCAAACATGAACGAGGCAGATGCCATGGCAACAGAAGAAAAGAGAAGAAACCATGTGAGTAGCCAACAGACAAGGAAGACCAAAGAGTCCAAAACCGATAGAGCCAACTGTTGGGAGGAAGCAAAACCAACAACCTTGGGGAGCCTTGTAGCAAAGAAACGGCGGCCCACAAGAAGAAACCAAAGCAGCAGGTGGAGTGAAACAGACGGCCCGCCCACTGGTTTCTCAGTAGCCACAGTTTTGCTGACGTTCTCTTTTATCTGTTTGCTTCCTATAAATTCTACGCGATAGCTTCCCATTTCTCATCACTGTCTCTCACTCTCACTCCCAAATCACATCCTCAAATTCAGATTCAGAGTCGTCGAAATCAGTAGTATTCATCAGGAATGGAGCGGCTGAGCTCATCGGTGCAGTCGTGGGTGGAGGAACACAAGCTCGCCAGCATCGGTAAGCAAGATCCATCCCCTTTCTGATTCAATCCAATTCCTTCATCTCTACAGTACTCCTTAATCAGTCAATCGATCGATCTGTGACGAACAGGAGGGCTGTGGGCGACGGCGGTGGGCGCATCGGTGGCGTACGGGCGGAGGAAGACGCCGCAGATGCGGCTGATCCACGCCAGGCTTCACGCGCAGGCCCTCACCCTCGCCGTCCTCGGCGGCGCCGCCCTCGCGCACCACTACTACAACCCATCATCCAAGACCAACAACAGCAGCAGCTTGGACTACGACTTCTACTCGCAGCTGCCGCCGGCCACCACCGACGACGGGCAGGAGAACGAGAGGTGGAGCTGGTAGTGCTACCCTTCCTTCCTGCTGCAAGATGCAGACAAATGAAGATGATGACGATCACGATGATCAATTAGTAATAATCTAATCGGCTCCATTAGTTAATTTTATCTTTATCTTAATAATAGAGTATGTCCTCCTAATCTATCCAGCTAGGATGGTCTTATCCACTCCATCCCATCCTCTGCTCTGTACTATGCATGTAATTATCCATTCCATCCGGACCCTGCTGTTCCGATGCCTTGATTACAATTGATGTCAGTGCAGTGGTATGCTTATTTGTTCCTCCATATGAATTGATCTCTAAAAATGTGCACTAAAAATGAGTATATGCCGAACCGCCAACGTTCTGTTAGGGCGTCATTCAGTAATCGTGACATTGTATTATTACTCCTACTAATCTTCCGTTTTGTTTTGTTATCAATGATAATCCGGCCTGGAGTCAAGCCATGTTGTTAGGATCAACAAGTCAGCACTACTACTCCGCAAGGACTACCAAGGTCTGTCACAAGTTTGTTTAACACATGATTTATTTAATAATAATAAATAAAATTGTTTTAGTTAGCGATTATTGGTAGGCGTCTTTAGGCCATGGGCTAAGGCCCATGAGACAGACAGACGCATGGCCCATATCTAGGTAACCGTGAGGCCTGCTTCTGGTCCGATACCTTGCTTTTCAATCAGAACGAGATCCCAACAAAAATGTTGTCAAGGAATTAAACCTCAATATATGCAGAAAAAAATATATAACCTGAATATATGCAGAACAATTAATGTGCTCTCCGTATTTTAAGAATTCTCTTGAAGAGAGGATAAATGGAGGCATCCTTAATAAGCTTGCTAATGAGAATGAGATGCTTACATCCATCCATTTCATTGATTGACTCTACAACTACACTAGGCCAATCATGGAGAGGATATATATGATGGATTATTATGTGCCAACCAACATATATATCCATTCCCCGACGTTTCTCCCGCCAAATTTGTCCTCACCCTTTCCATTTTTTATCAACACAAATTGCAGGAGCGCGCAGGACTGCCTTAATTCCCCACTAGTGTAGACCTTCTGTAAGCCCAGGGCTGTCTATTCCTCATGCATATGTTTGTTCCTGCTACAATCAAATTATTAAGAAGTCCTACAGTAAAACCATTTTGAAAAGTAGCTTAATCTACTATGTTACTACTTGTACTGTTATAGCTTGCTAGCTCATCCTGAGACAGTAATTGCAGGAAGCCAGGAACATCCTTCCAGCTTCTGGTGAGCAAGGTTAATAGTACAGCCAACTACTAGCTCCAATTCATCTATAGCTAATCTAATAGTCAATTTATACAATAATTGCTTACTATACTATTAGCATATGGTCCCACTGTCATACACACATTATGTCTTAGAGTCCGTGCTGCAGCTGGCTACAGATTTGTAGTCCGCTGCTCTTCTCTCTTATCTTTTATCTCATTAAAATATGTTTGCAGCCGGTTTATAGCTTGTTATTGTACCTGCTCTTAGCAGCAAAATGGATTGTTTAAATCATCATATCTAGTTCTCTGGTATATCATATCATACTTTTCTGCTTTGTTATAGTATCGAACACAGGCCGTTGGGTGAGGAGTGGGAGGGAAGTGGTTAGCTTGTTAACACATTAGCCAAGGCCGTGCCACCCTCCATGCCTCCGGCCAACTCCTACTTCATACCTAAAGTCTCTTATAAGGTTGGAAAGTCCTTATCAACCTTCTCCCTATGATTCCTTCACGCATTATATAATCATGAATTCATCATTTTGTCTGAGTTAATTTCAGATTATGTTCTTCTGAGGTCTACTTATATCTTGAGAGGAAAAGACAGTATTGTCCCCTCAACTATATTGGTCAGGTGTTCCTTTCCTTGGTAATATGCATAGTATTCATATTAAAACAGAGTTTTCTTGCGAGAAAACGCATAGGACAGCAAATTTTCATGCCATTTTTTTTTTCAAAACATATCACAGTTTTTTTTAGGAAATGCATAACAAAATATCATGCCAAAAATTTTCAAAACATAGGTTATTACTCTAGTTACTATGTGGCTATGTATCTGGGCTATCATCCACAAGCTGGGATTGTGGGATACTATTGCGGAGCAAATTTTCATGCCATCTTTTTTTCAAAACATATCACAGTTTTTTTTCTCGCAAGGAAATGCACAACAAAATATCATGCCAAAAATTTTCAAAACATAGGTTATTACTCTAGTTACTCTGTGGCTATGTATCTGGGCTATCATCCACAAGTCGGGATTATGGGATACTATTGCAGTGGTATCTCGACGTTTGGACTAGGTGGCACGGGATGCTTTTACCCAAGGGTGACGATCTAGTCTACGGATTGATAGTCACTAGTACCTATGTTTCGTGATGGGGATTTAGTTTTGTCCTTTTATTGGCTGTGTGCATTTTATGCAGAGGTCGGGATGGGCTCAGTTGGAATGTATCATCTTGGTGTTATTTGACTAAGTCATAATAAAGCTTCTATTATCTTAAAAAAAATTCAAAACATATCACATTGTTTTGTTCTTTTCATTTTCAAAGAAGTTGCAAGATGAAGATTCATGAACCGAAAAGAAACCACTAAGTATAAAGAGAGAGCACTTTGAGTCTTCGACATTGATCAATAACTCTGCTACTACTGCTCCCATATTTATTTGCATCGCTAGTAATTCTTAAGTAAAATTTAATATCTACATTCTATGAACAGACTGTTTTTGGTAAACGGTAGTTGGCCTTGGGCTAAATAGACAATTGTACGTTGCGTTCCATTAAAAGGAAATCCCATGCTTTCTCTAACTTAATTGACAAGGCATTCTCTTAGTCCCGTAGGATTAGGACTCAACTTGAATGTTCTGAATGACCGACTGTTCACTGTACATTAATATGCACTTCATTTTGTAACAAGGACGTAAGGCCATTTTAGTCAATGTACTGAAACAAAAAAGTGCTAAATGCACCTACTACATTCATGAGTTGCATATTTTGCATTATCTTTTTTTTTTCTCTCTGTGGAGAACAAACGTGTACTGAAGAAAGAGAGAGAGCAGGAGAATTTTAATTCCCCTGGCTGTCTTAGTTAGCAACCACCACTCATTACAATACATTAGTCCCTGAAAACGAAATAGCCAACACACCATCCTCCTCTCTATCCCCCTGTCGTCCCAAGCATTCGTTTTTATAGCCTCACCACAGCTCAAAAACACAATGCTAGCGTTGCTGTTCACGTCGTTGCCAAGCCACAAGGAGAAGGAAGAAGGAAGAGAAGGCAGAAGGAAGCAGCAGGAGAAGGAGAAGGCCAGAAGAAACAATGGATTGCTGCGTGTGCAGTCCCATGGCGTCCATGTACAGGCTTCCAAGGAACGCCATCTGCGCTGCGTGCTATGAAGGTGCCAAGGCCATCATCGCCTTCTTCAACGACGACGACGACGAGCACGCCGATGCTGATCAAGGCTCGGTGAAGCCCAGCAGATTGACAAAGCTCAATAGCACAACCAAGGTAAGACCTTCCCATATCTCATTTTGCTCCTTTATTAATTAGTCCTTTAGGATTGGTATGACTATGTTCGGTTTACAACCATCTCGATTGTGCCGTGTGCTCTACTTCCATGAAAAATCTAGCCTTGCGTGTTTCTAGATTCTAGAAGCAGAGAAATTTCGGTAGAGAATGAATTGATAAAAAGGAATTCCATCTCACATGTAATGCAATATAAACTCTTGTTGCATTGGTTACATCATTCAGTTTCATTGACGCATGCGTCAGGTTTGCTGTCAACGTTGTGTTGGTTAATGGTGAGGAGCAAGTCTCAATCGAGAGTTGCATGAGAATGATAGGTTTGGTGGAAATCTCATTGTCAAAAGGTTCATGATTGATCGATGCTTAAAGACCGTTTTCAGAAGCTGTATTTTATATACTAGTGTGCTTCAACAGCTGATGTTATCTTTTTATTAAAAAACCAAACCGGCATGACATACACAAGATTCTCCTTGATTGCAATAGCTGGAATGAGGAAATAAAGGTGCATGCCTTGGACAAGTTGTTATGCTAATCTTCAGAAAGAATTAATTCTGAACAGTCACAGATTAATGCTAATTGGTGGGGGTGCATGGGACATACATACTACACTTATCAGCATCATAGTGCTAACTGCTAACATTTGTGCGTGTTACTCAATGTAGGGATTGAGAGATGCGTGGGAGGAGGTGAAGCAGATGCGATGCAGAGAGGAGGAGACCAAGCAGAGGGCATCGTTTCTCCAGCAAGGCTTCGCGGCGGCGTGGAAAGACGGCATCCACACCGACATCGCCGTCAGGCCTGGAACTGGGCCCCCAATCCAAGCCCATAAGGCCATCCTTGTCAGTCTCTCTCTCTCTCAGTTTCAGCCCAATAGGCCGGCCTTCTTTTAGTTTGATTGGGCCCAATGAAACTAATTAGGCCCAGCTATATACAGGCGACCAGGTCGGAGGTGTTCCGCCACATCCTCGCCGGCGACGACGACTGCAAGGCCCCCGCCGGCGACTCTCTGTCGCTACCGGAGCTGACCCACGACGAGCTCTCCCACCTCCTCGCCTTCCTCTACACGGGCTCCCTGGCGACGTGCACGGAGGAGCGGCACCTGCACGCGCTGCTGGTCGCCGGCGACAAGTACGACGTGCCGTTCCTCCGGCGAGCGTGCGAGGCGCGGCTGGCGGCGGGGGTGGAGGCGGGCAACGTGCTGCGGACGCTGGAGGTGGCGGAGCTGAGCTCGAGCGCGGCGCTCAAGGAGCGCGCCATGGGGGCGGTGGTGGAGCACGCGGAGGAGGTGGTGTTCTCGCCGGAGTACGAGGAGTTCGCCGTCAGGAACGCCGCCCTTTGCGTCCAGATCACCCGCGCTCTGCTTGCCAATAAAGCATTTCCCGCCAAGACGCCTTAATATCCCTTTTATTTTTCTTCGTTTAGAATTTAGTTAGACGACGTACGATGTATAAGTGTAATTAAATGATAGTACATGCATATCTCTGGAATTAATGTGATCAATATATACAATTTAGATTCTTTGCACGAATATTTAAACGACAAAACGCCGTTCTTGTTCATTCAGCACCAAGAGATGAGCAAATTTTTACAACAAAATTAACTGAAAATATAGATAGTATACTATTTAGTATCCTCACAATAAGCTTGCGCTACGGCAGATGAGTATTAAGTCGAAACATAAAGTACTTTTTTTAGAACTAAACATAAAGTAGTTCATTCTGGATCAAATTGATGATCCGTCCATGCATTTCTTGATGGCTTGCAGCACTGCATGCCGAACCATTTGCTCATCCACGCTTCTCTCTGCAGCTTCACTCTGCAAATACAACAACTAAGTACTAATAAATAATTCACTAAAGAGTTAGGGAAATGCTACAAGACGATATCCTATTTGGACGGGATAATATCTCAGGTGGTGTCACCCCGTTCGAACGGGATACCGTCCTGTAGTATTCATCAAGATTTATTATGTAAGTACTCCCTACATTCCATATTATAAGTTGTTTGATTTTTATAGTCAAAAACTTTTAAGTTTGGTAAAGTTTATAGCAAAATATAATAATATTTTTAATGCAAAGCGGTGTAGCAAACATTGTATCGAAATAAATATAATGCTAAATTTAATGAAACTAATTTGAAAATATTGCTAATCTTTTCTATAAATTTGGTTAAATCAAAAGAACTTTGACTAAAAAAAAGTCAAAAGTATTATCAACGAGTACAATTCTTCCGTTGTCACAAGAAAGGGGCCGGCTTAATTAGCCAAATTAATCAACGAAATTACTTAATCTATCGATAGATAATTAGTGTGGTACGTACTTGGCTGGATCCAAACGCTTCAAAACGAAATGCGGTGTCATCTGCGCACGACACGTCAGCATCAAGGACGTCGAGGCCAAGCTCCTCGAATGCTTCTAGCACCGACGTCAGCAACTCAGGCTGACTCTTCTCCATCGACACATTGATTCGAAAACCTCTCTTCTTCTCTAGCTCTACCGATGAAACACTCACCTGCATGCATCCATACGTCTTCAATGCTGCATTAAGTTCTTTTTTTTTCCCAACTTGAAGGAAGAGTCACATTTTATGCTATGATGAGCTATAAACTTAAAGTATCATGAGGAGCAGTTGTGGAGCTATCACCACCGTCGAACCCAGACAACTAATAGTGTTTTTCAGTGATCGACTGATTTTTATAGGTATTAGCGGCTATCTACAGTGGAGACGGTAGCAACGTAGCCCAAGCGTGGACACCGTACAAGACTTGCCCGCGAGCTATCTCCGTTGCTGAAGAGGAGTGATCCAAAGCTATATTCTTCATAACTTAGTTCGCTCCATCGGTGAAGGCTTGTGTTAATTAGACTATATATATTTATCTTTTTTAAGGAAAACTAAATAGATTTGCATTATTGTTGTACTCAGTCCAATCTTAAATATTTCACGTTTAAAATATAATTTGGATAAATCATAACCACATCAATAATTCTCGAAGGTTTTTTTAAAGGTATGTATATATTTGCTTTTTTAAAAAAATACTATCATAATATCATAAACTTAATTATTAGATTCCATAAATTTCTTTTGATGTAAATATATTGATGGTGAAATTTAAAAGTTTGAATATCCTATCTTTCTATAAAGTTAAGGCCCACTATATCCTAAAGCTCAACATACAAATATGCCACATCATCCACTAACATTTAATACATCTCAAATCTCATACGAGCATGTTAATTTATTAAGTTTTAGAGCTTTAAAATACAAGCATGTTAATTAAATATCATCCCACATAATTCACATAATATTTCAATATATCTCTCTATCACTTTTTATAATATCCTATATGCCTATATAGTATATCCTCACTTAAATTTTAAATTTTAGAGCTTTAAAAAATCCAAGCATGTTAAATCATCATTCCACATAATTCTCAAAATATTTCAATATATCTCTCCATCATTTTGTATAATATCTATATACCTATACAATTCATTTTCACTTAGTTAATGCTATTTCTCTCTTCTCTCATTAAGCCATATCTCCTCAATTGTTTCTAGCCCTCAAATGATTAATCTATGGTTGGAATTACCTCCCTCATTTTCTCCTCTCATAAAGCCACATCAAATTACTTTTAAATTTGGACCATCATTCTATATACTATTTAAATTATGATAAACCACAATAACTTATGCAAGTTTCTATCGTCTAACTATCTTACATATTATTTTTATTTCTTATTATTATACCAAACTCCCGCAGCAACGCGTGGGGTTTCATCTAGTTTATAATAGATGTATTAGCACACATTGTACTTGTTTACCCATATACACTTTGTATCATTGTATGCATGCGTTGTCCTAGCTTAGAAAATAAACAGAGAGATGGACAAGTAAGTAACAATGCGATGCACATACTCTTGGCATTGGCATGGAACTGCTAGTGCTGCCCAGCTGTTCAGGCTCCTGAGATACCTTGTCCTTGAGCTCTTTGATGTACTTGGACGCATCTACGAGGATTGATGTCTCGTTTGCCTGCATATAATCATACATTCATGCATGCTATGTTTAGATTAATATAATTAAACTCTCACTGCTGCAGAAAATTCTATTACTATCGATTCATAACTGGAAGCGCACAAGTTTTTGAACCAATAGTGTGTTTGGCACAGTATCGCTGCCGGTAGATTTGGGTTTTAAGCCCGGTCTTTTTAAAATTCCAGTTTAGGAGAAAAGATAGGTGAGGGTGAAAACATATCGATTATTGCAATAGGAAAAATTAGAAGTAACCAATGTAGATAGAAGTCAATATAGCTCATTTTATATATTCTCAAATTGATCGAGAGATACCGAACCATGCATATGTAGTAATTATAACATGGATACTAATTAAGTTAATTAAATTACGTACCGCACTTGACTTTGTAACAGAACGTAGGAGCTCGAGCTTCTCTTCTAAAGCTGCTGCTTTCTTTTGATCTTTCCCTGACATCTCTCCCTAGATCTCTCTCTCTGGGGAAACACAAATCAAGAGAGAGACCAGCTGCTAGCTTAGCTAGTTTGTAATGGGCATCTCGATCATATATATAGATCGATCAATCAGAAGCTCGCATGGTCATTATATATATACGAGGGGGGACTGAAATATATATATATATATATATAACGAGTGATATCGATGATATGCATGATGATCAGTGGGCAGTACAGTACTTTGCTGTGTCGTACGTATGGTATTGATAATTGCAATTGTTGGGGTGTGCACATGATCGATCTGCAGTACTGGTGTGTTGCCTGACAGCCTGAGGATGGATCCTAAGACAAAACTAATACTCTATCTTGTTTTTCCTTGTCTCTTTGCCTTCTTCGTTTTGTTCTGCATGCACACGTTCCTTACTATTTTATTTTGATTATTGCAAGAGGATCATCCACTCTGAGCAATGGAGTTTGAGTAGTACAAGCGAAGCGAGAATCGTCGTCGTCTCAGCTATATATATATATATATATATATATATATATATATATATATATATATATATATATATGCTTAATTAGCTCATTTATTTTCCTTCTAATTGATAACATTATATGTCGAGACGACACACGGAAAACTACCGACTACAGTAGCCTTAATTACATACTCCTACTTATAATTAATTAGCTTGATATCGAATATCGTACGTGTTGCAAATCACTCTGCTTTAAATTCTCCTGATCGAGCTCCTGTCATTTTCTTTATCCCGGATCACGTAAATGTACGCCTTTTATCAGGCACGTAGTGATTAGCTAGCTAGAGCTTTCGGTCCAACCGCGTCAAGTAGCTTTCACCCAACAATATACATTAGCCAATACAATAAACTGATAATTAATCAATATATACACATCGAACACGTCTTGTTACACAACATGTATACAAAATGCAAACAGATCAATTTGTTTTCTAGTGCTATCTATGCCGGGGAGAACATGTCACCCGGCCTAACCTAACGTGTTCTCCTGCCTAGCTCAGAAATATATACTCTCTCCGTTCTAAAATATAAGTATTTTTTAGCATAATGATAAGTCAAACATTTTAAACTTTGACCATTAATAGCAAAAAAAAAATAAAAAAGATCAATCATGTAAAATTGATGTTACTAGATTTATCATTAAACAAACTATCAAATATACAACTCTTTTTATTTAAAACATCTTATTTTTATAGATATTGTTGGTCAAAGTAGTATCTCGGAGACCATGTCATAGTCTAAAAATATTTATATTTTGAGACGGATGGAGTATATACTGTCTCTGATCGATCGATGTTTCAATCGATATGTGTAGTTTTGTTCAGTCAAGTAGCTAGTGCAGAGAGTCACAGCAAATGATTAACGTAACTGATGAGAAGGATGGGTTGGTCAAACATATAGTGACTGCTTGCACGCGTGCTTGCTTATTGCTTGGCACCCAGGCCAAAATTGTCATCACTAGTCAGTACCCTAAGTATTTTTATTTAGGACACCGTTGATTTTTCTAAATATGTTTGATCATTTGTCTTATTATTAATTTTTATCTATCATTTGATTCATTGTTAAATATACTTTTATGTATACATGTATTTTTACATATTTCACAAAAATTTTTGAATAAGATGAACGGTCAAACATATTTTAAAAAATCAACGGCGTCAAATATTTAGGGACGGAGAGAGCACTAAAGCTTGGATTATTTCATCTCTTGCCTGCCTTGCATGCATTAAATTAAATATACTATCCTGGCTAATGAAAATTAATTAAGTTTCAGAAGGAGGCGTCAAAAGCGATCGAAATGATAAGGTCTCTGGGTGCATTTGGGATGCTTGTGTGCGACGCAAACGCGTCTGCAGTCGTCGATCGTATGTACGCATCGATCCTGCCATACCATTCCCATATATAGATGCATATAGTATATGCTTTGCAGCATGATCAATATACATGACATGAAAGAAAATTAAAATCCATACATCCATGCATATGATATGATGTGTTTAGTTGTAATTTGATCTGCAGCGTGATCAATTAATCTACATGACATGAAAGAAATTTAAAATCAATCCATCCGTGCAGATGGTGTGTTTCATTGTAATTGGTCTCTGCAGCATGATCAATCTACATGACATGAAAAAAAAATTAAAATCCATCCATCCGTGCATATGGTGTGTTTAGTTGTAATTGGTCTGATCAGCTTTTTTGGTCTCGTGAGCTCTGAGCTGTGCGTCCCTCCAAATACTCTTACCTTCTCTCATCACGGGTTCTCATCAACCAATCATCCCTTCCAATATCGATCTCCTGCAGTCTTCAATTCAATTCTCTCTCCCCACAGCTAGCTAGCGACATGTTTCTAACTTCTGTATATCGACATGCATACATATTGCAGATTGTTTTTTTTAAAAATATACTAGCAAAAATATTTGTGCGCAGTTGAAAACAATTTTCACGATTGATAAAAACTTTATCAATTTAAATGACAAACCGAAACAAAACAAACAAAACAATGACAAAACAAAGTCAGAAATCTTTTATAGCATTGAGTAAGCTCGCTTCATACATCATCATATGAAGAATCCTTCATGTATACTGTTCTATAGCCTTACATATCGATTGGGTGGCTATTCCATAAGTTGACGCATGCGTATTTTGCTATACCTTATTGACCAAAGATTAAAATTTTAATTATTCAATTTACGAAAAAATATTGTTGGTGGAAAGCATTCGCAAAGTAACAAATTTGCAGCATACACATCTTAAACAATTATAATTTTAAAAGAAAAATATTTATGAGGAGAGAAGTTTGGAAGAGAAAAGAAAAAGAGGAAAATAGAGAAAATATAAGAGATTGGAAGAGGATCAGGGAAAAAGAAAAGGAGAAAAAGAAAAAAAAATAGTTATTCTAGACTCACATCGAATTAGATGAGGACGACCTATAACTAACTTAAAAACTAAATGAAATACGGATGACGTACCAAAATTTTGATATAAATATCTTCAGTTTTTATAATAGCATAGATATATCTAGCACATACTTCAGATTCACTCATAAATTAATACAACACAACTAGTATTGAGAACCTCGGCCTCTTAATTTTAAGTTTCTGGTGTCTGTGCTATGAACCACTCTCAATTTTATTTTTCGTTATATATCCGACATGGCATATGTTCATCATATCGGACGCTTGAAAGTCGAAATCGACATGTGTGAATCTAATAGTAAGCACAAATAATCACATGTACATGTTGAAACTGTGTAAAGCAGCCACATGATATTCACATTTTGAATTATGGTAGAATAATAGACTGAAAATGTAAAATACAATTAAAATTTACATACCATAGTCTTCAGAAAGGGTGTTTGGTGTAGTGGTATGATTCTCGCTTCGGGTGCGAGAGGTCGCGAGTTCGATTCTCGCAACACCCCTTAATCGTTTTTTTTTTCTTTGAAGCCCTTTTTTTTTCCTCTCTGGAACTGCTCTGAATTCATCCTGTGTGTCGACTGCTGTTTTATTTAACGCTAAGTTTGGTGTACATCTTGGGCTTGAGACGACAGAATATAACATTTTGTCATCATCGATCCATGGCGCTCGTGCATATAGTGCAGTGCGACAGTAAACAAATTAACAAGAGCCGTAGCAAGCGATCGAGCACAAGAAATTAAAATTCTCTTGGTGGGATTTGCTGTGAAGAATCAAGCCCCAGATGGGACGAAAGATTCCTTGTTGTATTAGATGTGTTAATCAATATTGATGGATGTGGAGATCGATCTCCCTGCAAGCACGCATCAGAACATGCATGTCAATATAATTGGCAATGGCACAGCCTGATCCTTAATAATTACTCCTAGTTGAGCAGCATGGGCTCGAGTTGTTTCGATCTTCTTCCTTGAGATGTACCTGCAGCCGGATAGAGTTTACAGACGTCTGACCACTCTAAGATTACAAGTGGTACGTGACCATGACGACTAACTTCCAACTTGAAGGAAACAGCCAGCCAGCAGGGTTAGGGAGGAGACCACAAAAGATGGCATTGTTAGTGCTGGTTATCTGATTAACACGTCCTGATCGTATCGCTGGCACACGACTCCACTCCACGAACGCGCGCGCTCGGATCGCACACCAAGCAAAACGCAGGGGGAAAACTAGTTACAGCTACAGCAACTACAGCTAAAACCAACACGATTACAACGAATAATAAGTACAGTAGAAGATTGGAAGGAGGAGATAGGGAAGGCCAAGCCTTTTGCCAACCGAGTAACAAGTTGGCCCACTCTTCCTTCGTGAAACAAACAAGTTAGGCCCAATCTCTTATGTTTGGAGCGGACCTTCGGTCTTTAGATAGATAGAGGAATAAGTTTACTTGATGTTCCTGAACTTTACATTGAGTTTGTTTGAGATCCCCAGTCCGCAATACCAAAAATCTCTACCCCTCAACTATCACAAACCATGCAAAAAAGATCCTAAAGCAGTATTGACCCAATTTTTCTCCGCTTTCGCCGATGTGGCATATGGTGGGCCCCACATGTCAGCGTCCTCTGGGTCAGCTACTGCTGCGGTGGGCGTCGCAGCGTCGCGGAGGAGGTGGCGAACGCCTCCACAGGTCCCCGTGGCGGAGGCAGCAGCGAATGCCCCTACGAGCCCCCACGGCGGACGAGATCCCCACCACAATGGACTGCCTCTGCCCTCCAGCGTGATGACACTCTCTCTCGTGGCCCGATCTTCTGGTGAGGGGGATAACTCTCGCTTTGATCGAGTGCGACGTTTGCGACGTGGCTACCAACCAGAACAAGTCCAAGACGCCGTGCAATCGCTACACCACAAACGATGTCGTACCAACCGTGACGCGCGGTTGATGATCCCTGCAATGCAAACGAGAGAACACTGCAAGAACAAGATAAGATGCAATCTAAATACTGCGAATAGGGAATTAAGCACAAAGGAATAGTTGCGATTGAAGTGGTAGATCTAATCGACCCGGCAAATCAACACACCAACTATTGGGGGCTCTGAATCTATAGTCGCCGACTAATCGAGCGAGGACTAGAGACAAGGTGAATGGCACTTGGCAAAATTCAACTAAACAAAACCCAAATGTTTT